TCTATTGAGTGAAGATCACTATATCTTCGAGGGGTTGACTATACTACGGAGTACGACTATTGCAACGTACTAAGTGGTATCATTTTGTCAAGAGAGAAGGCAGGACAGTCGGTTCCATGGCTATGCCGGCTTTGGAACCCGGATCAGAAATTGTTTACTTTGCATATTTTTGGAACTTGATTCAGCCATCCATAATTTTACTTAATCCTTGTCCTTACTAGACTAGTTATGATTTATTGTTTGGATTGATCAATCAAGCCACGCAGGCGGAAGAACGTTGAGATAGACATCCAATCCCACTGCGAACCAATTGATACTCAGTAACCTGGACAGCCCAAGAGACAGAGACCAGTTATCGTGGGCGCTTTTCCCACCGATACCGATGTCATCATGGATCTTACGTAGCTTGTGGGGCGGCTACGCTTTTAGTCCCTCTGACCTGAAGGTGTGAATTTCTCACAAATAACGGCTCCTTTTGAATATCCCGGTCCTCATCCATGGCTACCACTAACAATATTCCACATTGTGTCTCTTTTCAATAGGAAGCTGTAATTTAGTGGCCATCCTTGTTTGGTCCTGAGAATCGGTGGTTCTTCCAGGGAAGATGGTTGTCAATAGTACTCCGTGCTCATAATTAATACAGTGTACCTTGAGTGAGTGAGTATCCAAGTGAGTCTCCACACAGCCTCTCTCTATCCCCCTTCGCCCTAGACCACCGGTAGACTAGAAAGGCTGGAAGCCTGGCAAAAGAGGCTAAGGAGTGTGTCTAAGGAGGCTGGAACGACAGACGATATACGATCACCAACCACACCTGTCGATCATAGTCTACAGGCTGATTAGTTCACTGCTTACTATGGAGCAGGACAAAAGTGGCCTACCTACCTTTCCCTGAATTACCAATAGGAATTTAACATTTCATTGGAGTTCAGAACGGGCTTGCAAAATCGCAGACACCGAACAAAAAGCAAGAAAAACAGCCACCGCAATCAAGGCTTGAAAGTTGGGTCCTGTTTTTCTTGGGGTGTGGGGGCTTTTCCTAACGCCGGCCCCCTCCCATCCGCGCCATTTGAGTGGCTGTGGCATCACAATTGGCGGATTGTTTGTAAGGTTAGGTTGCAAAGATTACATGCCGCTAAGAGGCCCGCCGCCTTGTCGTACAGTAATTCTCCTCGTACCAACGGAACTGCGTCTGCAGGTTTACTGTTTCTCAGGTAAGTTTCAAATCTCAATGTTCGCCTGTCTGCTTGTCCATCTCCCTATCCATGTACTGTATACATTCACCATGCTCTCCAAGATTGCAACGGCCGACAACGTAGAGTTATCGATCGGGCAACCGTGGATGTAAGGGTCTCAGATAAGGAGACGGATGATCTATACCCGGGGATCGTACTTCTCAACTCAAAATACTCTGCAAGCAGTGATCCGATCGTGAAGAGCAAGCGATCGATTTCAATGCTAAATCCGCTGCAGTGTGATCATGAACTGATTGACCTGGAAATAGCCTCAATGAGTGAATCCATCCGGCAATGTTGACCACCTGGAACCCGATAGTGCATCCCTTGAATCAGTTGGGTAGATCTCTGCGGCCTTTCGCGGGTCTTCAGGGGACGACGAGTGGCTCTTGTCACTACTGTCTTAGATGCGCCCCCATCCGCAATGCTTAAGAATAGATGGGTATGGAGTGCGGAGTCGATCTGCGTTTCTTTCCAGATGTGCTATGAATATGTACTGTACTGTTGAAGCGAACATTGGCAGACCCCGCTCCCGTCAGAGCTGTAGAACTAATAATACTAGGGAACCGGAATGTACATGTCTATGTCTCCGTAGACAGTCAAGCCATCAGGGAACCCTCGAACTCAATGCAAGTCTCCCGCAAGAATTGGCATCACAGACCACGTTGTCTCTATTGCTTAGGGTGGGTGGACAAGTTCGGTGGATTCCATATACCCCAAGTACATGCAATGGTATTGGTGGGCTTGCCCAGACCTCTTCCCCATTCTTGTGAGAAGTGATGCGCAGCCGCTGTCACTGGACAAGTTTCGTGGCCACTGGGGCTGGACTATGTACGGGCTTGGTTTCTGGCAGGCAGCTATCTTACTCAATTCTTGTCCTGTCAAATGGTGCCAGTGTGCCTCCATGGGCGCATGTCTCTTTCTTGTGTACTGACTGTGGCAAGGGAGACGGGTTACTCTATAATTGGAAAAGCAGTCAGATGTTCAGTGCCTGCCTTACTCAGCGGCTGTGGGTCGAAGCAGCTAATTATGTATGATGTATGCTTCCCTATGCGTGTCGATTCGTGGCGAAAGAGTCAGTGTAACGTGTACAGTGTTCCTTTTTCTTTCCTTTATCTTTTGCAGTTGTACATGGTTTTGTGTGGTTTGATCAAGTACGCAGTAACATACAAGTACAAGAAGTTTTCGTGGAAGGACATGATATGATCGGTTGTAGAGTAGTAATTCATGCTGCCAGCTTGATTGGTAATGCAACTGCACTGCCGAGAGTGTGCTCAGAACCTTATCCTATTCTTGCCTGCTACTGATAGCCATGATATCCTCAATACAATGGACTATGAAGTTCCTACGAGGCGGAGCATATATGCAGGAAGCGTTACATGCGCAGTCGAGTACTAGCAATACATAGATAAGATTTTTATTGGGGTGTACAGTACCTGAGTATGAGGAGCCTTTTCTCAGCAACGGAGCCAACTCTCCACAGCATGAAGCTGTTGCAACAATCCGGTGCTCGCTACGGAGTAAGGATCCAATAAATCAAAGACCGCTGCCACCATAATAAACAACCACCCGCCCCGGCGACGCATTCGTGACCTTGCCACTACGATGTTGTAACAAGATGGACTGTGGTTGCTGGTACGGGCGGGTTGAGGAATGAAGATGGTTCATGATTCATCCCTTCATGCCTGGTGGGAGCAATGCTTGTGAACTGGAAGGGTAAACAAGCAAAGACAGCGGCGAATTTCGAATACCGTAATTTATTACACCGATACTCGCATCAACTTCCCAGCCCTTCGGTACGGATCTGGGTAATTCCCATTTCCTGATGGTCTAGAATTGTGGGTCGGGGGGAGGTGGGCTTCAGGGGCCGCCGCTGAGTTCCATGGATGCCGAAGCACACAGTACGTATCTCCGGACGAGTCTTGTCCACTTGTTGCAGATTTGAACTTTTGTGTCCACCACTCCAGGCTTTTGGAGGAGAATATGGATCAATGTGGTTGCCAGCTACGTCAGTCACTCAAGTCTACTGAGGATTCTGATTGTCGCCATCTGCTGCATTCGGTAGAACTTTTAGGATGGGGGTTGAATAGTTTATTCTCTCTCTCTCTCTCTCTATGAATGGATGTGGTAGTTTTCGGGATGGCAAATTTGTTGGTGATCTCCTACGCGTACCTCACATTCGGCAGATGTGGCACCCGGGGAGGTCCCTAACCACGGTATCTCAGGCAATCAATCAAAGCAAAGTATAGTGTATCTTTGGTTACATATACAATGTAGCTACATACTCTTGAGTTACAGCACTGTACATAAGCAAATGGCCCAGCCTCTTGTTCGTGATGTCAAGAATTGCTGAGCAAAGCTGATCAGTAAGGTACCTTGGGTACAGGTAGTAGTAGCCTGGTACCTGCTGGGATGGATAAGTGTAGGTGACTGGGAAAGTGGATGGATGGATGAATAGCTGATGGAGGAGGAGGAGATGGTGGTGGGTACATACAGTACTCTCTCATTACACACGTTATGCTGTTTTGCGTATCTAACATACCGAGATGTGGTAAAGATTGGTAAATACCAGGTACCACTGCATGCACCATCCCATGGAACATTACGTGAAGAGTTGCTGGTTGGCTGCATATCCCCGCCCTGGCCTGGCTGACCGGGCATATTTACCACTAGTCCAGGAGAAATCGGTATCGCGACTAGTATTTTAGCAGATCCAGATCCCAAAATAACCACAAGTCTCCTCTCCCCCCCCTTCCCTTACACACTCTGCCCCCCCTCCTCCACCCTCCTCCCCCCCCCAATCCAATCCTAGGGAGAGAAAAAAAAAAGCCCAGAGGACTTGAGAAAGGACTGTATTCTGTATTAGCTCGAGAAAGACAGCGAAAAGACTGGCCCAGTCAGTAGCGCCAGTGCTATCTTCCCTGCTTGTCGGTCAATCAATTCCCTTTTTCACCACCACCCGTCCAACTCAAGCCTCCTCTAAGCGTCCTTCTCTCTGGGTCCTTTCCTTCTTTCGTTCCCTCTCCCTCTCTCTCACTCTCTCACTCTTTCTTGCTTGCTTCTTCCCTAACCTCTTCCTTTTTTTCTTTTCGGTTCCCTGTCTTGTTCAGTCCACTCTTTTGTTCTTATCATCCACTCCCACCCACTCCCCCCCCAAAACACCTACCCCCAAGTCACCCAACCACTTTTCCCCCCCAGGAAAACGCGACTTGGCTCCCTTCCTTCTTTCTAATTCTTTCGTTTTGAGGAAAGAAGAGGGAGGTGTTGCTTGACTGAGATAGGTTCGACCTACAACGGTCATTCATTGACACCTTTCGCTCGCCCCCCCCCTTTAGTTCAGTTTCGACCAACTGGCTTGACCCCTTCCACTCGTTTAACAAACGCTTTACCAACGACATCCCGACTTCGCCTTACAAGTCGGTCACCAGCAGATTCAATTGTTTTCGGTTTGAGTTTGAATCACTTTCAACACCGTTCAACTGTCGGGGACTGGTGCCTCCAGGGGACAAAAAGCGCTCTCGGTTTCAGTGTACTCGACGTGTTTCGACCTTTTCGATCTTTAGCGAACGGATCCTACCAAGAATTCGACTGCCTGTTATATGCTCCAGCCATCGGGAATATTTTCAGCTAATTTTTAATGGGTCATTGTTCATGTAAGTCCTGACCACCCCGGTTGCGGGATGCTCCTTGCTGGGTATGACTGCGGAAACTCATCACTCGCAATCGTATAGAACCTCTTCGAAGAGTTAGTGATTGTGGCACGTCAAAATGTCCGGTTATCCCGCAGCAGCAGGAGGGGGCCACTACGAGGAGGGCTACGGCCACCAGCAAGAGCATGGTGACTCGTACTACCAAGACGAGCATGGCCAGGCTTATTATGATCATGAAAATTATGGTGATAGTTACTATGACAGAGGGTATGTGACCTGGGCTCCCACTACATCTCGCCACCCGAGGAGCTGGATTAACCTGTGGTCAACAGCAATCATTACAACGCCGAGGGAGGCCAAGGGTATCAACAAGAAGGCGGTTACTATGATGGTGGCCACCAAGACGAGTACTACGGCGACCAATACTATGACCAGGGCAACCATGGCGGCAATGGCAGACGCCGCGGCGAGTCCGAAGAGGATTCCGAAACATTCAGCGACTTCACCATGAGATCCGAGACTGCTCGAGCGGCCGACATGGATTACTACGGCCGCGGCGATGAGCGTTACAATAGTTACGCCGACAGCCAGTATGGTGGTCGTGGTGGATATGGCGGCGGTTACCGGCCACCTTCCTCCCAAGTCTCCTATGGTGCCAACCGTTCTTCCGGGGCCTCCACCCCCGTGTACGGCATGGACTACGGTGGTGCTCTACCTGCTGGTCAGCGCTCGCGGGAGCCCTTCCCCGCTTGGGCCTCGGACGGTCAGGTGCCTGTTTCCAAGGAAGAAATCGAGGATATCTTCATCGACCTGGTCAACAAATTCGGCTTCCAGCGGGACAGCATGCGCAATATGTACGACCACTTGATGACACAGCTGGATTCCAGAGCTTCTCGTATGACCCCTAACCAGGCTCTCTTGTCGCTCCACGCCGACTACATTGGTGGTGACAACGCGAACTACCGCCGGTGGTACTTTTCTGCTCATTTGGATCTGGATGACGCCGTTGGTTTCGCGAACATGAAGCTTGGAAAGGCCGATCGTAAGACGAGAAAAGCTCGCGCCGCGGCCAAAAAGGCTGCCCAGCAAAATCCCGAGAATGTTGAAGAGAACCTCGAGGCTTTGGAGGGAGACAACAGTCTGGAAGCTGCCGAATATCGGTGGAAGACCCGGATGAACCGCATGTCTCAGCATGATAGAGTACGCCAGATTGCCCTTTATCTGCTGTGCTGGGGTGAGGCCAACCAGGTCCGTTACTTGCCGGAATGCCTCTGCTTCATCTTCAAGTGCGCCGATGACTACTACAGCTCTCCCGAGTGTCAGAACCGGGTTGAGCCAGTGGAAGAGCTCACATATCTGAATGAAATCATCACCCCCTTGTACCAGTTCTGCCGTGATCAAGGTTACGAGATCTCAGATGGCAAGTATGTTCGTCGCGAGCGTGATCACGACAAGATCATCGGTTATGATGATATGAACCAGCTTTTCTGGTACCCCGAGGGCATTGAGCGCATTTCGTTCGAGGATAAGACCCGCCTGGTGGATGTCCCGCCCGCGGAGAGATGGACAAAGCTGAAGGATGTGGACTGGAAGAAGGCCTTCTTCAAGACCTACCGCGAGACACGTTCCTGGTTCCATCTGGTGACCAACTTCAACCGTATTTGGGTCATCCATCTTGGTGCTTTCTGGTTCTTCACTGCTTACAACGCCCCGACGCTTTACACCACCGACTATCAACAGCAGTTGGACAACAAACCGCCAGGCTCTTATTACTGGTCTGCTGTTGGTTTCGGAGGTGCTCTGGTTTCCTTCATTCAGATCATGGCTACCATTTGTGAATGGATGTATGTCCCTCGCCGATGGGCTGGCGCGCAGCATCTCACTAAGCGGCTGTTCTTCCTCTTGGCCGTTTTCATCGTCAATCTTGCTCCTGGTGTTGTTGTCTTCGGATTCAAGAAAACCATCGGCGAGACGATTGCTCTCGTCATCGGTATCGTCCACTTCTTCATCGCCTTGGCTACGTTCTTCTTCTTCTCTGTCATGCCGCTTGGTGGTCTCTTTGGCAGTTATATGAAGAAGCACGGACGTCAATACGTTGCCAGTCAGACGTTCACGGCTAGCTTCCCTCGCCTCACCGGTAACGACATGTGGATGTCTTACGGTCTCTGGATTTGTGTCTTTGGTGCCAAGCTGGTTGAGTCCTACTTCTTCCTGACCTTGTCCCTGAAAGATCCTATCCGTATCCTGTCGCCCATGCGCATTCACCAGTGTGCGGGTGTCACTTATATCCCCAACGTGCTCTGCCACCGTCAGCCTCAGATTCTCCTGGGTCTGATGTTCTTCATGGACTTGACGCTCTTCTTCCTCGACAGTTACTTGTGGTACGTTATCTGTAACACGATCTTCTCCGTCGCTAGGTCGTTCTACCTCGGTGTCTCGATCTGGTCGCCCTGGAGAAATGTCTTCTCTCGCCTGCCCAAGCGTATCTACTCGAAGGTGCTCGCTACGACCGACATGGAAATCAAGTACAAGCCCAAGGTTCTCATCTCACAGGTATGGAACGCTATCATCATTTCCATGTATAGAGAGCACCTTTTGGCCATCGACCACGTCCAGAAGTTGCTCTACCACCAGGTTCCTTCCGAAGTCGAAGGCAAGCGGACTCTTCGTGCCCCTACCTTTTTCGTCTCGCAGGAAGATCAGTCTTTCAAGACTGAGTTCTTCCCCGCTGGTAGCGAGGCCGAACGTCGTATCTCCTTCTTCGCCCAATCCTTGTCCACGCCTATGCCCGAGCCGCTCCCGGTCGACAACATGCCCACTTTTACCGTCCTCATTCCTCACTACGGTGAAAAGATTCTGCTGTCCCTGCGTGAGATTATTCGTGAGGATGAGCCCTACTCCCGTGTTACTCTGCTGGAATACCTTAAGCAACTTCACCCTCACGAGTGGGATTGCTTCGTCAAGGACACCAAGATCCTGGCGGACGAGACCTCGCAGTTCAACGGTGACCAGGAGAAGAGCGAAAAGGATGCTCAGAAGAGTAAGATTGATGACCTGCCATTCTACTGCGTTGGTTTCAAGTCCGCCGCTCCTGAGTACACTCTTCGCACTCGCATCTGGTCTTCGCTACGCTCCCAAACGCTTTACAGAACTATTTCCGGTTTCATGAACTTCAGCCGCGCCATCAAGCTCCTGTATCGTGTCGAGAACCCCGAAGTCGTCCAGATGTTTGGTGGTAACTCAGAGAAGCTTGAGCGTGAGCTTGAACGTATGGCCCGCCGCAAGTTCAAGCTCTGCGTTTCCATGCAACGCTATGCCAAGTTCAACAAGGAAGAGCGCGAAAACACCGAGTTCCTTCTGCGTGCCTACCCAGACCTCCAGATCGCTTATCTTGATGAGGAGGCCCCGGCCGAGGAGGGCGAGGAGCCCCGTCTGTACTCTGCTCTGATTGACGGACACTGCGAGCTTCTCGACAATGGAATGCGCAAGCCCAAGTTCAGAATCCAACTTTCTGGTAATCCTATTCTTGGTGACGGAAAGTCTGACAACCAGAACCACTCTATCATTTTCTACCGCGGTGAATACATCCAGGTCATCGACGCCAACCAGGACAACTACCTGGAGGAGTGCTTGAAGATCCGCAGTGTTCTGGCCGAATTCGAGGAGCTGACCACTGACAATGTTTCTCCTTATACTCCTGGTGTGCCCTCCGCTACTACGACCCCGGTTGCTATTCTCGGAGCCCGTGAATACATCTTTTCTGAGAATATTGGTCTGCTTGGTGACGTCGCTGCCAGTAAGGAACAGACATTCGGTACTTTGTTCGCGCGTACTCTCGCCCAAATTGGTGGAAAGCTGCACTACGGTCACCCTGATTTTTTGAACGGTATTTTCATGACGACCCGTGGCGGTATCTCGAAGGCTCAAAAGGGTCTGCACCTTAACGAGGACATTTATGCTGGTATGACAGTTCTGCTCCGTGGTGGACGTATCAAGCATTGCGAGTACTTCCAGTGCGGTAAGGGTCGTGATCTTGGTTTTGGCTCCATTCTGAACTTCACCACCAAGATTGGTACTGGTATGGGTGAGCAGATGCTGTCCAGAGAATACTATTATCTTGGAACTCAGCTGCCTCTCGATCGTTTCTTGTCTTTCTACTATGCCCACCCTGGTTTCCACATTAACAACATGTTCATTATGCTGTCTGTGCAGATGTTCATGATCGTTCTTGTCAACCTCGGTGCCTTGAGACATGAGACCATCACCTGCAAGTACAACTCCGACCTGCCGATCACCGACCCTCTCCGTCCGACGTACTGTGCTGACCTGAAGCCTATCGTGAACTGGGTCAACCGCTGTGTTATCTCCATCTTCATTGTCTTCTTCATCTCCTTCGTTCCCCTGGCTGTCCAAGAATTGACTGAGAGAGGTGTGTGGCGCATGGCGACTCGTCTTGCGAAGCACTTTGGTTCCTTCTCTTTCATGTTCGAGGTGTTCGTCTGTCAGATCTATGCCAATGCTGTTCACCAGAACTTGTCTTTCGGCGGTGCTCGTTACATCGGTACTGGCCGTGGTTTCGCAACGGCTCGTATTCCTTTCGGTGTCCTCTACTCGCGTTTCGCCGGTCCCTCCATCTACGCTGGTTCTCGTCAGCTTCTGATGCTGCTGTTCGCGACTTCAACTGTCTGGACTGCCGCTCTGATCTGGTTCTGGGTTTCACTGCTGGCCCTGGTGATCTCTCCATTCTTGTTCAACCCTCACCAGTTCGCTTGGCACGATTTCTTCATCGATTACCGTGATTACATCCGCTGGCTGTCCCGTGGTAACTCCCGCTCACACGCCTCTTCCTGGATTGCCTTCTGTCGCTTGTCTCGTACCCGCATTACTGGTTACAAGCGCAAGCTTCTTGGTGTTCCTTCGGAGAAGGGATCCGGCGATGTTCCCCGAGCTCGCATCTCGAACATCTTCTTCAGTGAAATCATCGCCCCTCTCGTGGTCGTTGGTGTTACCCTCGTGCCATACCTGTACATCAACTCGAGAACCGGTATCTCGAACGACAACAAGCATGCTTCCAACGCGATCGTCCGTATCGCCATCGTTGCCTTCGGTCCGATTGCCATCAACGCCGGTGTTGCGGGTATGTTCTTCGGTTTGGCTTGTTGTATGGGTCCCATCTTCAGCATGTGCTGCAAGAAGTTCGGTGCTGTCTTGGCTGCCATTGCTCACGCCATTGCCGTGATTGTCCTTCTGGCTATTTTTGAGGTCATGTTCTTCCTCGAGTCTTGGTCTTGGCCCAGATGTGTGATGGGCATGATTGCCATGGCTGCCATCCAACGGTTCATCTACAAGCTCATCATCTCGCTTGCTCTCACCAGAGAGTTCAAGAATGACCAGTCCAACATCGCCTGGTGGACGGGTAAGTGGTATAGCATGGGCTGGCATACTCTTTCCCAGCCTGGCCGTGAGTTCCTGTGTAAGATAACGGAATTGGGCTACTTCTCCGCCGACTTCGTATTGGGCCATATTCTCCTGTTTGTCATGTTGCCTGCTCTTTGCATCCCTTACGTTGACAAGTTCCACTCGGTCATTCTTTTCTGGCTGCGCCCGAGTCGGCAGATTCGTCCTCCCATTTATACCCTGAAGCAGTCCAAGCTTCGCAAGCGGAGAGTCATTCGTTTTGCTATCTTGTACTTCACGATGCTGGTTATCTTCCTTATCCTTCTTATCGCCCCTCTCGTGGCTCGCAACCAGAACATCAACCTGGGTTCGAGTCTTCCCATGAACATCATGCAGCCCCTCGACAAGGACAACAATGACACGATTGCCAGTTACACTGGTAGAGGTCTCCCCGTCGGGTTCTCCGGCTGGACTCCTACCAACCCGGCTGCCACCGCCACCTCCAGCTAGTGAGGAGTCTGTTGCCACGTTGGATTTTCATATTATCTTCTTCTCTACCTTCTCTCATTTTTTGCGAAAATGGAACATGGAAACGAGTTGTATAAAGTGTTCAGCGCCTTGAGGACGCTGCCGAGTCGCATACATTTGCCTTTGTTTTATTCTCATTGCTTCTTGAAGGACACTCTTCGCCCATGCTCTTTTCTGTCGTCGACATTAATGGATCCAATATCTGTCAATTGAATTCTGTATTCTCGAGGTGTTTTCCAGTCCTTTATGTATGTTCATTAGACTTGCAAGTTTCATTTTGTTCTCCACCATTCATTTTATCTCTGGTATTCTTGGACCTTTTCTCGTAGATGATGCTAGCTAGCAAGGAACAGCGTAAATGTAGGATCTTGTAGGGGTTGCTCAATTACGTAGTCAAATTGGCTACTGGTCCTCTGCTATAGGGGCTTCCAAGTTGCATCATGGATGGATCAGTCTGGATTTAGTGAGCGTCTAGAAACGTTGTCACATGACCATTAAGTCCGGGCTGATAGGATGGCTGCCTGCAAGGAGCAGACGAAGTCACGTGCTTGCGGCCTGGGCTGCCCGGAAGTTGGGAAGTGCCGCGTCGTTTCGACTTTCTGACCAAAGCTCCTCCTTTACAGATCCCACACCTTTGATTCCAATGCCATCCGTTCGACTGTAGATTGCCGTTGTCGTCTTTCTTTTCGTTCTGGGATTTCCCCACCGACAGCGTCTTCGTTCAGCGCCACGAGCGCCTCGTCAATTTCGAGACCATGGATATTCAGGAGACACAGCGGCTTCTTACGGAGTATCTCCATGAACTCGCTGCCTTGTTCCATCGGGTTCCCGGCTCCGCGATCTTCCTCCGTTATGTGAAGTCCAGCTATCAGAATGACCCGATCCGCTCGGCCGTGGAGCTGTTCTTGTTCCTGTTCGCCGTTCGCTACCTTCTTGCGCCGAAGTATTCGACCAAGCCCGGTGTCGTCCAACTCTCGGAAGATGAGATTGATGACTTGGTCGACGAATGGACTCCGGAGCCGCTGGTCGGGAAGCCGACCCCCCTGGAGGCCATGGAAGTGGACAAGCGTACTGTCATCGTCGGGTAAGAGCTATTCCCTCGACTGTCCGACCTCAATGGGTTGGTCCACTGGTCCATCTGCTGACGCGAACGCGCGCGGGCCCTGTCCAGCCCCGTAGGCCCGAAATCCAAGCTCGCCAACGGCCGGACGGTCATGAACCTGGGCTCGTACAATTTCTACAACTTCAACACGAACGAATCCCTCAAGGAGAAGGCGATCCAGACCCTCCGCAACTACGGAGTCGGACCCTGTGGCCCGCGAGGCTTCTACGGTACCCAGGACGTGCACATGAAGACCGAAGCCGACGTCGCCTCGTTCCTCGGCACCGCGTCCTGCATCATCTACGCCCAGGCCTTCTCGACCATCTCCAGTGTGATCCCGGCTTTCTCGAAGCGCGGGGACATCATCGTGGCCGACAAGGGGGTCAGCTTTGCGATCCGTAAGGGTATCCAGATTTCGCGGAGTATTGTCCGGTGGTACGAGCACAATGACATGGAGGATCTGGAACGGGTCCTGGCCAAGGTGACCAAGGAGCAGGCGCGGAAGCCGCTCACCCGACGGTTCATCATCACCGAGGGTCTGTTCGAGTCGTACGGTGATATGGTTGACTTGCCTAGAGTTGTATGTGCTTTCTCGGCCGAGCTGTGGTTGTCTGGGGGTCTTGCTTACTGACTTGACGCTTTCTTTTGAAGATCGAGCTGAAATTGAAGTATAAATTCCGCCTCATCCTCGACGAGACCTGGTCGTTTGGTGTTCTTGGACGCACCGGCCGTGGCGTGACGGAGCATCAGAACGTTGACGCGGCAGAAGTCGACATGATCGTGGGGTCGCTGGCCGGCCCATTGATTGCTGGTGGAGGCTTCTGCGCGGGATCGGAGGAGATTGTGCACCACCAGCGGATCTCCGCGGCGGCCTACACGTTCTCAGCCGCGTTGCCTGCTCTGCTGTCGACCACCGCGAGTGCCACGATCAACATGCTGCAAAATAGCCCCGAGACGGTGACGCAGCTGCGGGAACACACCAAGGCTATGTGGGCGCAGTTGGACCCTCGCAGCGATTGGGTGTACTGCACCAGTGCCCCGGAGAATCCCATGATGATTCTGGTTCTCAAGCCCGAGGTGGTCCACGCGAAGAAGCTTTCCGAGGATGATCAACAATTCTTGCTGCAGGATATCGTTGACGAGGTAGGTGTTGTCTGTCTATGTCTTTTCGTCTGAGCACGATGCTGACTTTGGGTGCTACCAGTGTCTTGCCAACGGCGTCCTTATCAGCCGCCTCAAGACTCTCCAGGACAACTTCGAGCCGAAGCAGGTGGTGGAGCCTGCTTTGAAGGTCTGTGTGACGATCGGCCTGACGCGAAAAGAGATCGAGAAGGCGGGGACGATCATCCGCCACGCAATTACGAAAGTCCTGAGCAAGAGGAAGTGATTCGTTTTTGTCTGTTTCTCCGGCTGTCGTAGGGACCTGGCCATGACGTTTAATGCTTCCATGATACGCCCTCTGTCCTTTCATCATCGTATTCTGCCCCAGCCTCATTATTTCCGGCCCTGTTGATAAAACCCACTGTCGAAGCACAGTTCCTGTACAGCATATTGCACCTAGATGCTAGGTGAAACGCTCCTGCACATGTCTTAATGGACGGTCGACTCGCATCATTTTTACTGAGTGGTGATCGTCTTTGTTTCTCCTACTTCTTTGGCTACATTGGTACCGTGGATATTTTTAGAGACCATATTATTTAATAACACTTTTTCTTCTTTTCTCGGGGGTTCTCGGGCATGGGGGATGATGCAATTATAGGGAGATCCAGGGGTAAGTAATTGTGGCTTGACAATCCAGGATAGGGCGGGGGGGGAGGAGCCTTGATTATAAGGGGTTTGAAGTGTTGACATTCCGAGGATCGGTCAGTGGGTGAAGGGCGAAGGGTGAAGGGCTCAAGGTAGGAGTTATCCTGTACATTCCCTGGGGAGAAATGCTCATTCTTGTGTAGTGAATTCACTGGTGTCCCTGTTTCAGGAGGCAGCCCTGGTCAGGGAACAATCATCTAGCTTTCCTTTTCTTCTTATCTTCTGACTGCCCAACTCAATGCACCATCCACCATCCACCGTGATAGCGGCGGACGAACAACACTGTGCAGGATGCAGTGGACGTGCAGTTGCAATTCCTATGCCCCCATCTTGTTGCTGCTGCTAGCGTTGCTGCTCCTTCTCAACAGCAACACCGTCTCCGCCCATCCACTCCGCCGCCGCAGCAGCCCCAGCAACAACAACAACAACTGGCTCCCCAACCCTCTAAGCCTGGGTCAAGATGCCACCGCAGCCCTAACCTGGCTCGACCACAGCGCCAACCAACTCAGCAACAACGTTGTCCACGGCCTCAACTCCGCCCTCCCTCCTGACCCCAACACCCTTCCCTCGCCTCCCTCACCTCCCCCACCCCCGTCAACAACCTCCCCCGACAAAAACTACGGCATCGCCTACTCCCCCTACACCGCAGAGGGGACCTGCAAACCCGCCACGCAAATCACCCACGACCTCGCCCAGCTCACCAGCTACGCCCTCGTCCGCATCTACGGCACCGACTGCGACCAAACCCGCCTCGTCCTGGCCGCGGCCCGGGGCCTCGGCCTGCAGGTCTTCGCCGGCCTCTTCGACCTCCGCCACTTCACCGACGATCTGGCGCTCATCATCGCCGCGGTCGGCGGCGACTGGGGCCGGATCCACACGATCGCGATCGGGAACGAACTCCTCAACAGCGGCCAGAACACCGCCGCCGAGGTGGTGGGCGCCGTGCAGGCGGCGCGCGCCACGCTGCGTGCCGCCGGGTACCCCGGCCCCGTCGTGGCGGTCGACACGGTGGCGGCGCATCTGGCCAATCCCGCCGTGTGTGCGGCGAGTGATTATTGCGCGGCGAACTGTCATGCGTTCTTTGATGAGGAGGTCGAGGCCGCCGGCGCGGGAGCGTTTGTGAGGGGCCAGGTGGGGAAGCTACTCGAGATGATGGAGGGGGATGGGGATAGGGATGGTGATACGGGTAAACGCAAGAAGGTGGTTATCACGGAAAGCGGATGGCCGCATGCTGGCCAGGCGAATGGGAAGGCCGTGCCCTCGTTGGAGAATCAGCGCGCTGCGGTGCGGAGTTTGAGGGAGGCGTTTGCGCGGTCTGGTTCTGGAGCTGGAGCTGATGCTGATGCTGATGCTGATGCTGATGCTGATGCTGATGCTGATGCTGATGCTGATGCTGATGCTGATGCTGACCCAAAGACTGGGGAAGAGGATGGCGAGGTAGGGCTGGTGCTGTTCTCCTCGTTCGATGATCTCTGGAAGGTGGATAATGGGTATACCTTTGGGGCGGAGAAGTTCTGGGGGATCCTGGGGCATTAACTCCTCTTGTTGGTATTCATGCTTGTTTCAGGGGATGAGGAAGAAAGGGTGATATCATGCTGGGTTTCATGATACTGTTTCTATTGCTTGCTCGATGTTTAGGGCTGCGTGTTTTCTCTGATGTGTATGATATGATATGATTATGGTTGGTTACTTGTGGAAATCATGAGGGAATGAGGACTGTATGTACTATGATATCTATCTCAAGTTTCCTCGCTTGAAGAATTGGGTTCTACTTATCGTGGTCGATCTGCGGGACAGATCTTGTGTCTGTCATGCTTGGAGGTGAGGAAAACGTCCGTTTATTCAAGTCGTAATGTGAGAGGGTACAGTACAGTACACATGTTTCGCACAGAATACCAAATACCGTACATACATCCCCTGCCCGGTGGAGTATACGGTACCATACGACCTCATCAAACGAATGGATCCCGCTGACGACGCAGTGGAACTCGGCTTCCATCAGATGGGGCAGGCAATCCCATGTTGCTTCAGGACCAGACTATTTTTCCGCAGTGGACAGTGCTTGATCGTTGGTATTACTCTCTAGTCCAGAAGACAATAGATGCCGTTTCTGTCACCAACTTGAGCAGGTCAAGGTGAAGTGCACATGCTGAAAAGCTCACTACTAAATAGCTCATAGACAAATTAAACCTCAGAACGCGCCGATATGCCAATGCAAGATGATTCTCAAAAACAAGTATCAATTAGAAAAGAATGGGAGATCGTCAGTCCCCAACAGACATGTTCTGCACCGCCTCCTCGACACTGACCGGACCACCGGACTTGATCCCTAAGGATGTGGGCGGCCCGACAGCTTGTTCCTGCTCATCGCACGCATACCCCTCGCTCAAATGAGTCGAGCCTTCATGCTCGGCAGGGGACTCCGGTCGATGCGAGGAATCCCCCGAAGTGAGTCTTTCCCGTCCCGAGCGACGGGCTCGGGGAGGTTCGGGTTTATGCCCATGTTTGGAATTGGAAACCATACTGACCAAGCTGCTCCCACCCCCCAGAGCGCTCACACTATTATGATGGAGCTGGGGAACGACTCGCGAGGGACTGGTGAGCGGTGTGCAGTGGCTAGAAACCGAGAGAGTGGCCATGCCGGGGACAGTGGCATGGGTCGACCGTCGCGGCGGAGGGACCGCCGGCGGGGGGTTGGAGGCGGACCGACGCGGGGCCCGAGGAATTGGCACTGCTAGGCTTGATGTGCTGGTGGAATTCCGCCGATCGCCCGCTCCGCTGGCGACAGGCGGGGGTAGCGGACTCGTAGTCTGAATTTCCCGGTCTTCCGGAATTCTGTCCACGTGCTCATCATCTTCCGCCCTAGGACGGCCTCTCCAGCGCCGAGGATTCGGGGGAAGCGGTTTGATTTTCCCCCTGTTCGCCGACGGACTGAAAGGACTGTCCAAGTGAGCATTGTTTCGGCTCGGCGTGATCACGCCCGGTTTCTCGTGCTGCGATGCCACCTCCTGCACACTAAGCGACGATGACGAGGCCGGCTCGAGGTGCATCCCCAATCTCTGCGCCTGACTGAGCTTGCGATGCGCATTCAGCTTAGCAGAGCCCGTGCCAGCCTCATCATCGGCACGGGTTGGAGACAGATTCTCCGACGAGCTATCCACGGTACTCGTCGGGGAGAGTGTCTGGGACAGCTCCAGCGGTGCACCAAACTCGCCCTCAGGCGACTCGTCATTGCCATCGGAGGTTTTGAGGGGTGGCACCGCAGCCTTCTGAACCTCCGTCGACTCTTCCTCGCGGATCCAGTCGACGGCTGCGCATCGGAGAACCAGTCTTCTAGTTGTTTCATCTGCCTCGTTAAAATGCATGATTCTCTCTTGGTCCGCCTCGCTATGGAAGAGTTGACCATTGACCAAGATACTGAGCATCCGCTTGATGTCGTCACGTTTATAGTAGGGCGGCAGTCTCAGCTGCGTATGAGCGAGCAACGGATAAAGAACCCGGAGGTAGGTGTGTCGAAGGGCGGACGACTCTTCCGGCAGGTCCAGCAAGTTTCGGATCAAAATGTCAACCAGGACATGTAGATCGTTCGTGTAGAAGTATTCGTAGGTGCTCGGAGTGGTGAAGATCAGGTATAGAAGCTTAAGCGTCAGGAGCTGGAGGGACGTTTCGCCTGTAGCATGTTAGAGCATTGGTCTGCACCCCACAACAAACACCACATACCTTCTCGATTGATTAGGAGGATTATATTCTCACCAAAGGTCTTGTACATATTTCCGTACATGGACAAAACCTTGATGACTTTGTTGGTCAGGAAATTCATGGGTGACTGCTCGTCAACGGGATCGTGCGCCGAGATCATGAATTGCTCGTTCAGAACCAGCTGTCCGAGAGTCATTAGCGATTTGCTTTCCACCTTGGACGCGACACTCACCAGAACGCGAATGACTGGATAATGATAAGGGTCGTTGACATCGTACGAGAGATCCTCGATGATGTCAAAGAGACCGCGAACAAAATCGTCGTCCACAAGAACTGCCATGCACACAGACAGGGTCAACAATTCCGAACCGAGGCATGTTTTGGGAAAAGAAACGCCGGCGCAAACCCACCCAGATCCTCAATTTTCACCCGCTGTATCCGCGACATCTCATACATCAAGTCCATGAGAAGCCGATGCAGGCCCGCCGGCATGCTCTCATCCGCCGAACGGTTGCGGACCTGCAGCAGTTCCAGCAACCGCGGAAATGAACCCTCCTCGTTCATCATCCGAAATGCCTCTTCATGTTGGCGACCGTCGAAAAGCAAGAGCGAGGCAATGAGATGAAGTGTAGCCGGGTCGTCGTCCTGGAAAACAAATCATGCCCCATGTCAGACGTCGTCACACACCCCCTCCCACACATTACATGAGGCAATGTGCGAACTCCTCGGGGCGTACCTGCAACAAACAATAGATCATCTGTCGTCGAACATAGTCCGCATGCGATGCAAAGATGCTGGATGCCAGGAGCTTGTACAAGCACCGGGTAACATCCAACTCGCCCTGAAGGTATTCATCTGTCGGTTGTCCTGCGTCAGCTGGACTGCATCCGTTCGTTTCGGACGATCGCCTGAGAAAAACCTTTATACTTCGTAGCCAGGCTCAAATACGATCGAAGCGCATTGTCGATATGGTCCTCCGAGGAGCAAGGGGCGGAAACGATCTCTTGGATTTCTGCGGACAAGGTCGCGCAACAAAATTAGTTCCGAATGAATTGAAGTAGCGAGCAGAGGGGTTTCGCAGTATATTCTGAGCACGATCGGGCAATGGAGAAAGAAACAGATCGGTACTACTCACCGTCCCAGAATTGCTGCTCGTTCTCCAGGGTGACCTCAAACTCCATTTCCCACAGCTCAGTCGTCCTCGTCGGGCGTGGCGTGTCCCTGCACTCATCCCGTCTTGCGCCCGCAGCGAGGGAGTCGGATAAGGCGCTGCTCCAGCCAGGAAAGGGAGCACGAATGAGCGGAAGGAGGAGTTGGAGAGAAGGTGAGGAGAGGGGAGGAGAAGAGAGGAGAGGAGAAGAGGTCGGGTGAAGAGAGGAGGAGAGATGGGAGTTGGAGCGGAGAGGGAACGCTGTCAATAATCAATTAAGAAGGCGGGCGGGCGGGACGTCATTCCCGTCCTTCCTCCCTTCGCTTCGCTTGTCCCCCGCCTCTCGTCTCGTCTCATGGCCCCATCGTTGGACTCTTTCACTCTTTCACTGATGACCTGATGACAGCCACTAGAAACAGCAAAGGGCCTACATTAATTTCTCTTTCCTCTCTTGCATTTTGTAAAGAGACAGTGATATGTCTACCACTCCATTATCTACTTAATCCCGTACAATAGTACGACTATACAACACATCATCGTCCACAACAGCAGCAGCACCATTCACCATATATGAGCCTTTTATTTCCAAAGCCAGCTAAGAAATAACGGAGCCCATCCCACAAGAAAAGCGAAGGGGGACAAAACAGTAATAGGGAGGGCGAATGCATCAATCAACAACTCGTGGACTGGACCGTGGTATCTGTACTTTTACAAGCAAAAGCAGCAATGAAGGGAAGCAAAGAGTAAGAACGGGGGAGAATTAAGAATCAAGCAGGACGAACGCAAAATGCACATGCATACAAAGCCATTATTAGTTCGGGCGCCTCAAAGGATGCGCTTCGGTATTCCTGCGGTGTGTCCGTTAGCCAGGGCACTTGATGGGGTTCACAACGAGAGGAAAGACTTACAGTACATAGTCGTCAAGACTGACGACGGTCGGATCACTGAAAAGAAGGTAGAAGTACTTCAGCGTCTCCGCGAGCCAGAATGACTGCATCTCGTCCAACATCTCGGGAGTTGTGACGGTGACGTCGTCGATTGCTGAGTTGGCGAACTCCGTCCGAGTGTACTTCGAGACGGCTTGAAACATCTCCCAACCCTTCTTCCGCCACGACTCGTCGCCAGTCAGACGGTACATGATGAATACCGACTCGATAGCCTCAGGTCGCAGCAAATACTTGCGATTGATGAGCTTCGTCACCCCGGGAGGAAGGCGCTCATTACTGATACGTGTCGCCACGTACTCCTCGTGCGAGGGCACCTTCTCTTCTTCCTCTTCAGGAGGTTGCTCGGGTTCCGGCTTTTTCGGTGTGGCCTCGTCTTCCAAACCAATGACGTGCCAGTTACCGCGCTCGCGCTTCCCCAGTAGAGTCTTCTTTTTCTTCAAGTCAGCTACCTCAGCCTCGGCTTGCATTGCAGCCGCTGCCTCCTCCTTCTCCTTCTGCTCTTTCCGCTCCTGCGCCTTGGCAAAACGCTCCAGCATGTCAGGATCCAAAGCAGTGTGATAGGTCGACTCGTCCCATTCACAAGGCTGGCCTTTTTTGCACGGAACCAGGGAGAATTCTTCGGGCATGATACCACTCTTGGTAGATTGGTACGCCCACACACAGCCGTCAGTCAATTGCTTAGCCAGGTCCATATCTCCTTCCAAGCCGAAGAGTTTGGCTCCAATGCCAACCATTCCACCAAGAAAGCATGACAGGTGATCCCCTTTGTATTCCATGACCGTGGGGCCTGGCTTATTCTTGGGAATGATCGCTGTGCTCAGAAAGCGGACGTCCCAGCCGCCCTTAATCATAGGCTGGAAGACCAGATGTTGACGGATTGTGTTCATAGCTTTGTCGTACATGGAACGGTACTGATCATTGAGACCGCCCAAAAGCATATACTCCTTGGGCAGATACTCATATGTAGAGTCGGCAAGAGCTCCAAGGCTGTACTTCTCTTTGTCAATGGTGGCTGTGTCCAAACCCCCGGTGCACTGCGCTTCGGGGGCGCTCAGAGCTGCGCCACCGGGACCTTGCGCCACAGCTCCAGGGTACTCTGCAAGCTGAGCATCTTCGTGAAGAGACCGCGCATCGCGGGGTTTGAAGTAGTCCTGGTAGCTCTTCGCGTCGGTCGGGGCCGGCTTGGTAGGATGCGGCTTGGAAGAATGAGCACTCGTGGTAGTCACAGGGAGCCGGTCGCGCGCATACTCCTGCTCGAGGCGAGCTTTGGTGAGTTCCTTAGTATTGGCATTGATATTGGCATTGGCATTGGCGTTGGCGTTGGCGTTGGCGTTCTTGCGGCACCCCGAGGCGTCCAACTTCACGGGCCACAAGCCGGGATATTGGGTCTGATCTTGAAGCTTCTCTAACTCGTTGGTAATGCGCGCAACAGCATCATAATATTTGTTCTCTTTGGTCAACTGCGCCAGACGTGTGAATTCCACTGAGAGCGAGCCGAGTTCGGCTAGAATGGCCTTCTTATCGGCGTGATGGGGTCTGGTCAAGTGAGATCTGTAACATGTACTTGTTAGGGGTTATGCAATTACCCGAGGACGGACGAAATTGACTTACGGGGTCCACTTGTACATAAGCGAAGGCATGCGGTTGGGGGTGTCAAAGGCTCCCATCAGAATCTCGGCCAGTTCCACGGCTTTCGCCAACAGGACATCATATTTGTGACCCGAAACATCGTAAGCACTAATCAACCCACCCAGGTAGCGAATGACAGTTTCAAAGAGGGGAATTTCGTTCCTCTTGGAGGTGGTAGTGAAGTCAATCGTCTTGACATAGTCGACTGCTATGGAGAACTCCTCTTTCAGATCCATCAACCAGAGAGTATCCAACGAATCCACCAGCGTAGCACCCCAGCCATTGAACGGATCTCGGAATCCACCCCGCAGAGGCTTGATCTCATCGTGTCCCATGGCGGAGGTCTTGTACCCAGTCCAGGCGCGCTCAAAGACCTCCTTGATTTCCGACAAGCGTTCGAGGCGTGTCATTTTATCGGCCGAGGTTTCGTCTTTGAAATCCGCCTGCAGCTTCGGGATCGGCTTGGGCTGACCTGATGGCAATTGGATCATGTCCTCGCTCCGAATCGGGAAGAGCTCGGGCAGCTTCTGCCAATGTGGGCGTGTCCATGTTGCGGCGGGTGTTTCGACTCCCAATTTGCCTTGGCCCTTGACTGGAGCTCCAAGTCCAGTGGTTTTCCGGTTGTCCCCGTCCTTCTCGGTGGCAGGCTCCTCGGATGGCTGGGGGGATTCGGCTGAGATCGAGGGGGGACCCTCTACGGCCACATCAGGTAAAGTGTCCTTGGATTCTTCGGTAGAGAATTGCTCGGGGTTGTAGTCATGGGCGGACGGAGGAGAGGCCGGAGATTGAGAGGCGGCTTGCTCAGGAACGGCGGGTGGGTTCGGGGCTGAGGCCCCCGGTCGACGATCGGCGGGCGGCGATGCACGCCAACTAGCAGAGGATTGTTCTCGTGAACCGGCGAAATGAACAAGAGCTAGAACAAAGATGGCCGCAAATACCAGGAGAACCCGGTATCGCCGGGCTCGGAACATCATCGAAGAAGGTGATCGATGGGGAGGGATGAAGGTACGAGGCAGCACGAAGACGCCCCGGAACGAGGGAGGGGCGAGGGGGAAAGGGGAGGGAATCCTCAACGTGAGGAACGAAAGGTGAAAGAATAAGCGGAAACGAATGAAGAGAAAAGGAAAAGATTGAAAAGAGTAGGAACCCCCAAATGAGATGGTCAGAGAGACTAAAGAAAGAAGAAAGAGGGGGAAATACGAGCAGAAAGATCACGCGGTTCCCGGGGGAGAAAGGGAAAATGTCTTGGACCTGCAGGAGGTAGAAATCCGCGTGAGAAAAGAGTGAAGAGTGAGGAGTGAAGCGGAAGACGATTTAGAAGATGCTGGTAATGGGAATACTAGTCAAGAATTACTAGTCCCAAGGATCACAAACAGGGTGGAAGAAAATGATATGATGTGTAGGGCGGTAATCGCAAACGACAGACAAGAGTCAACATGAAGAGACTCCCGGAGGAAAGAAGGAATGAGTGGAGGTTGGTGAATGAATCGATCGATCAAACCATCAAACGATCTATTTAGAGAAACGACTGACGGAAGAAATGGGGGGGGGGGAGGGGAATAGTGACAGAATGAAGGACAGTGAAGCCTCTATTCAAACATGATTAGTAGTAAGTTGGTAGTAGTATTGAGTTTGAAAGGTGGGAAAGAAGGGAAAGAGAAGATGAGACAGTCTGGAGGAAACCACCAAGACCAGTGACCACCACAAACAGCAGTCAGTTCTGTTCTTAGATTAGTTTAGTATTTAGTTCGGGTAGTTTTTGAGCAAGTTTTAATCAATCATAAGTGGTATGAGTACTCATAACAGAGGGCAAAGAGAATGGACAACCCCGATCAGGAGTAGGAGCAGAGAGGAACGGGAAGGAAACACAGACTGGACTGAGGATAAGAAGTGTACAGTGCAATCCCAAAGAGGAAGAGGGCGGAGGTCGGAGCAAGCCTGAAAAAAAGGACCGCAGGGCCAGACCATTGGGAAGGCGGTTAATTCGCTGGCCTCACGCACTGGCTCAATGCATTCTCCAGCCTACGGTGGAACCGCCGTGGAGAAAGCACCCACTTGGGTGTCGCAAGACTTCCAACCCGTGGAAATAATCTAAAGATTATTTAATATTTAATTAAATAGTCCTGACCAGGCTGACCTAGTCCAACTACCGTAGACTAAACTTACCGCAGACTACGGAATACACAGGAATTCTGCAGTTTCTGATTGATCCCAGACGGATATGAAATCTTCATGGCATTTCCCACCTCTCGTAATGCCAACCCGGATCAGTCCGGCTCTTAGGGCAAGGATCAAGAAATACTCCGACTTGATGCAGTCGAACTGGGGATTTTCTGAACATCGATAGTTCATGTTTCTGCATTATGGAACGAAGGCCAAATTAGAAACAGCTGAGGCTGGAGACGAGGGGAGAGAGACAGACACAGACACAGACACAGAGAGCAGGCCGAGAAGAACCCCGGATTCGCGAGAAGGAGGATCAGCTAGTCGGATGGACCTGTTAGAATGCGCCATCGATGGATCCAGACTTCCCAATGGAGTCCAGAGGAATTAATCGTACTTCTACTCCGTACTACGTACTGATAATACATGTACATAGTAACGATTATCTCGGCTTTCCCTTACCGTCTTCCATGGTTATTACTACCGCACTGTTTATTCTGTTCAGGAGTATGGTCCTTTACCCACTCCGCCCACAGTATTCTCTTAGTACCCAGTATGATATTGCCCAACGGACCACTTCTCCGTGGCCAAACCATCTAGACTAGCCACACTAACTCAATGGCTGCCAGCCATCATCTGACTGCAGGGTGCATGATCCAGGGGGGTAAAGGAACAACCACCAGGAAGGTTTAGGAAGAGGGGCCCGTCCCGGCGGTTACTAAAAATAACATAAACATACAGTACTGTACAATTTCCCCCCTCCAGGCTCCGTTCCCCTGCTCCAAATTCCGAAGCGAAAGTCCCACACCTAATGAAGTATTCGATGTCTTCCTCCTTCTAATATCCTTGGCCTTCTTGGTCTTGGTCTTGGTCTCCCCGTCTCGAGCTGCTGTAGATACTGCCAATTCACAATGCCATTCCTATCCGGGGAGGTGCTTAGATGAACTCACTAATATTGATGAAGGGCGGCATAGATGACAGTCACGGGATTACTATTACAAAGGGGCCAACATAGTGTCTGACCCAGTATACGGTACAGTAACTACATGGTCGAATGCTAAGTAGAAGGACTGTGGTCTCTGTAAGAAACCAGTAGACAGACCCTTCAGACCATATCCACTCAAGGCCCCGTCGAGATGAAGCATAAGACCCTGGCGGATACTCAATTTGCCCTTCGAAACACAAATTCCCGAAGATGAAACAGCCGAGAGTGAAGACCTGACCCAAAGTGGCGGGTTGAGACAGATGTGGGAGTGGCTTTCCACCTTTTTGCTCCTTCTGATGGCGGATGATTACCGAAGGTTGAGCCTAATGATAGTGCAAAATTTCTATTTCGGGCCTCCAGGAGAACACACTTGTTACAGAATACAATGACTACGGATAGTATACGCCTGAAAATCTCATCTCTATGATTATACTCATGACTATCTATCTGGGAGGTGACCCGGGAGGCTCACAGAGCCGGAAGTCTCCGGAATTCGTTCATATTCACATCCTGACGGACTGACACTGTCTGCAGAAGAGGGATCCTATAACCCAACAGTCGTGCGCCCCCGATTGTCCTTGCTCACTTGTTGGAAGCGTTGAATCAGCCCCAAAACCCCAGCGCCCCCAGCAAGCGCATCCACATTCTCTCCGCCTTCTCTCTCCTCACCATCCTCGTCCCTCTCGTCTACCAAATTCATGCGCCACGATTCGCCCAAATTGCTGTCGCTCGTTCCGATGCCTGCCCCGCTCGACCCCGAAGCTACATGCGGTGAAGCTCTGACTCCAACACCACGAGCCTGCGTAGATGGCCCATCCTCATCAGCGATCGGGTCAGAAATGGTACGCGACGGTCGGGATGGACGGTAGCGAGAGTACGCTGATGCACGATGAGTGGTGCGGAACCCGGACGCAGACGGTTGGTGATGCGGATCGAGGAGCATCGACGGGGCGGGGGACGTGTGATCGCCTAAGCCCGGAGGGCCGAACCGAGGAGCGCCAAAAGCAGACTGTTGGCCCATCATCCCGCCAGCCAAACCAGGCCTTGCCAGCGTTCCATCCAGTCGCTCACCATAAGTGCCCATCTCGATAGCCGAGGGTGACCCGAGGGTTGGAAACGTGGGCGGCGGATGAAACTGTCGCTTGTTGGATGGACGTGGATTTGCCCCATAATTATCCAAGAACCCATAGTAAGAAGCCAACATCTTGCCGTCCTTGGTGGAAAAGTAATCGGCCCGCAGGTCCTGCCGTGCGGGATCTCGTCGACCAGGGTCCGCTTGGGAGATGACGTTGGTGCCCTTCTTAAAATCGAACACAGCAAAGGAGCACAGGTAACCCATGCCATCGACATGAACGGTAAACTCCCGAAAGAAATCGATAAGACGGTCGCTACATTTGGGCAGACTGAACCACAGGATGAAAGGCGTGAAGATCATGCTCATGATTTCCTCCAAAAAGATCACAATCTTCATCTGATATAAGGTGGCGAAATCCTTCCGAACATCGTCGCTATGCAATCGTCCTTTCCAATGGCCCGGAAAGTAGTGGGTGAAGTTGATCACCTCTAGTAGCGCGTACTCGGGATCAAACACGTTCGTCTCCTCGGGCACCATACCCTGGGCGACCGCCCAAACAGATCCAAAAACACCCAGGTAGAACAGGACAGTGCGATCGGGAGTGATCTCAAACCCCAAGAACAGCTCCGGGTCCACGACGGACGCTAGAGCCAGCACAGATGCCAGCGCACCAGAGACGAAGGCAACAAATCCAGCAACCTGGACGGTCTTATCCTTGGGGAACTGATCCACATAGCGGCTGGCGAATGGGTAGGACATATTCGTGCGACGCTCGAAAAGGTGCCAGAGCTCGTTGAACTCCCGGAACTTCCATTCCGCCAACGGGGTATATTGACGCGACCCAATCTGGGACGGATTCTTTTTGTACTCATTAAAGTAGCGAAAGAAATAATGAGTCATGAAGTAGACAACAATGAAAGGAGCTGCGAAGATGTTCATGATGCCGGCAAAGATAAATCGGCGGCGCAGGCCGTCACTCAACGCTCGTCGGTGGGTATCTTTTAGAAACAATGTTCGAACTTGGCCCTGCTCGTTGAAAACATAGTCCATCACGCACAGATTGATGTTCCATTCTAACGTCCGTGAGAATAGTTGCCGGTTCCGCAAGAACGGGACTGGAAGTGTGAGGTCAAGTATATCCTTATTGACCAGAGCTATTAAGTAGTTTTCTTTCCGCATCAGTCGGTTCGCGATATCATGAGCATCCATTCGTTGCTTGGATTGGCTCCCCATGAATTTGCGGTTTTTGGCAGAAACAGCGCCGGCCGTCGCTGGGTTAGAGTCTCGTAAGGTCATCAGGCGGCTGACCACTTCCTGCCAGGATATCGTTTGAATCTCGGGATCGGAAATGCCGAGCAAATAATGGTAGAATTCATGCATATGCTTGAGTCTTCGGATATCAAGGATATACTGAAAGGACTTGCCGATCCAGAACAGCGAGAGTAACCACAGCAGGAAAGTAGAAGAGAACGACATCTTTTTGGTGCATTGCTGGATATAAATGTCATCTAACGTTCTGCTACCGCGTACACTGCGATAGTCGATGCAATTCGTCAGAAAGATGCTGAAACCTACAACAAATGCGAATGTCCTATATCTGGTCAGCAGCTGCCTTGAATCCATCGCGATAAGCCGCAAAGCAATGAGAGCGTACAGGAGGCTTAACGCTCGGTTCAGTAAAATCGACCAAATCCCATTTCCGAGATAGTACGTGTAGACTTCCTTCAGAAAATTGTCTAGATTCTCCACATTCGCCCACATCCACATTGCTTTCACTTTGGGATCTACTGTGGCCAGATCTGGGTATCCAGCTGACCACAAAGCTCCATGGTGGCGTTTCCCAGGAGCACTATGCACTGGTAATTGTCCCCGGGCTGTCTCCCACCGCGCTTGGTCCCTATGTGAGGATGGTCGAGCGTGAGGACCATGATCGCGGAGATTATGAGAGGGTGGGGGAGGAGGAAGTTTTGATTTGAGATCGTCTTCATCCTCCTGGTCCCCTTCCACGAGGAGAGAAGCCGGAACCTCATCATCACTGTCCTCGAGTTTATGTTGGGGCGATAGTGCCTGCGGTCGCCGTAAGCGACTGGATCTCCGGGTTCGCGATACACTCTTCATGGATGCCTTCCCGGCGGCTTTCGCGCTTTGAGGAACCGGGGGGGTCAAAAAGGGATCGCTCGGGCCTGGGGATTCATCCCTCTCGGCATGTGCTAGGGCTTCCTCCAGTTCGCCATCACTGAAATGACCCAGATGGTCATCCTCCAGGGCTAACCCTGCACGCTCCTCAATATCCGAGGTGTCTGAATGAGAATCGTGCTGTCGGATGGTCTCATACACTGACGGCGATCCATGCGGAGGAAGGAAACGGGACAAGATATTTGATGTCATCATCTTGGGCTAGAGCTCTCGACTTGATGCATGGACTGTAGACACATCAGTAGCTGGAAGCGGCCATCAAGCCGGGTCCAGAGATAGCTCCAGAGTTTTGCCGAATATGAGACAGCTCTGGTATACTCTAGGTACGCGAGGGTGTTTTGGAGGTCAAATGGCGGAACGTAATCGGGCAATCGGTCCTCTGGCACCGATAAGAGAAAGCCTACCAAGCAAGACCTGATGCCTGACCAATTTCAAGAAAGCAAGTACGAGAAATAATCATGTAATAGCAGACAGGGTGGAGCTATTGACTTTTGGAAATGAAGCAGGTCGGTTGACGCGGTCAAGGTCAGGAGTGCCAAAGAAGCTGGTGACCGGCTGCCCTCGTGATAAGCCGCGATGATGCAGGCGGTCACCGAACGGAAAAGAAGCTGGTGCCTCAGGCGTCAGGACGAGCAGTCGCATCATGTGATTTATCGGGGGAGTTGAGGAGTGTTCATTGTCATCACGTGATACAGACAGCGATGACAAAGCGGGCGAGCGTTGACAACAGGGCACGAGTCAGTGATTTCTAACTCAATGGTCACGGGATGAACCGCCAACGAGGACCACTGATTGGCTTCAGCGCCTGCGATCCTGCCATGACCGGTTAGCTGGCTCGTGCGGGGGTGGTCGACTCGAGTCAGGTCTGTGGTACGGAGTGCCTTGTCCTGCTGTTCTCGAAAATCACTACTAATGATCATCATGGTGTCCAGCTGCCAGTGGTCTAGGCCGGGATTCGGCTCGAACTGAAGAGAACACAACCGGTGACAGGCAAGCAAGCCGCGTTCTTCGCAATCCTCGTGAACAGTCCTTCGCTTAAACCATAACCGGGTCACTACGTACTCTTGTAGTGCACTATTTATGAGTATTTCTGCTCCCCATTGAATGATAAGAAAACCCTGGTGATCAACTGGTTCCCCGAGAGCTCCACACTCAGTGAGATGACCTCTGGCCTTTCTCGGGTCAAGGCTAGACTACGGACGGGGAGACCCATGGACGCGTTCTGCCATGTTCACTATCTTCCCCAAGCCGAGCTGTTGACAATTCTTACACGCACCACGCACACACACACACACACACTCTCTCTCTCTCTCCCTTTTTTCTGCCAACGTCTACCGTCAATATTTGTCAAGCCAACCAGGGACCAGCGAAGGCCAATGGAAGAATGGGAAGGCTGTCCCATGGGGAAAAGCCACACCGCGCCCAAGATATCGACTGAACCACTCAGGCCGCGGTGCCTACAGTAGTGCCAACACCTCTACTACGGAGGAGCGCATTCTACGCTTTCTAGACGTAACGCAATCACTAGCATGGCCCGCAGGGTAGGCGGGCAATGATCAAGTCCTGCACACGATGACGGGCGAAAGACTTTGGCAGCTGCCATTGGGCCACGCCAACACCGAATATATTACTTGCTTTAAGGGAGGCGGGAAGAATCCCAGTGGCGATTATCGTTAGTTTCTCGGATCTGACCGCCGCACCCTGTTGGTCCGGTTCTGGAATAATGAATTAGTCCTCAGACCGTTCCCTCCTTCCACTCTATTCCGTACTACTGCCAGTGGTGGACGCCGTACGGAGGTACCATATTCCCGATGCATCAGAGTGGACATCCACTTCGTGGAGACTATTGAGATTGGTGAAATTGGAAGGAAGGTAAAGGATTGAGGCTGAAGAGAATGCGACAGAAGGCGAAGGAGAGAATGAGCAGGAAATGATTATGTGCCTTGAGGTTTGCTACTAACATTTCGGGTTTTTTCTGGAATTCCATGATTCGGCAATGGTTGGGGAAACGATTCGTCAGGGGGAAGGGGTGGAAACACACCGCACTGCAGCAACAAGAGTTCGAACAGAGCAAGAAAAAAAAAGTCTCCATCCATATCAGTGGTGGTATAACTAATAGACGGGATGAGGATTCTAGGTCCGGAGTACTGTACAGTACTACTACATAGTAACTCCTTTCGACAGGTTTCAATGCCGTTTACAACAGTATGTTCTCCATAGACCGACCATTGCCCGGGTGGTGTCCGGTAGTTAGTCAAAATGATACCTACTTAGTAACCTACTGGCCATAAAGGACAATCACAATAATGTCGAAGCCCACAATCAATCCACAACCACATCAATAGTGGATCTCAGCCTCATAACTTGGGCCCGAGATTTTTCCTTTGCTCCATTTATTCTCCTTCCCATTATAGACCGCTATACGGAGTTGTGTGCAGTGCTCCGTGGTGAGCTGGTAGCTAAGTTATCAGCAGTGTGATCAGGCCATGAAGTTGCTTTGACCATAAAAATTAATGTGCAAGGGAGAGAATAGCGAACCGATAGAGTATTCTGTACCTACGTAGGAAGTAGAATAATATCATCTGGGAAATCATTACACATACTTCTCTATCTACTCTACCTACTCATAGTAATGGGGAGTGAGGATAATGCGTCAGCCAGCCAATGAGTGGCAGTTGCAGTTGAAGTGTTCCCTCAGGCTTCTCTTCGTCTTCCGAAACGCCTAAACTAAGATTCCCCCTGCATCTTGGCCGATTGGCATGTCTCCCTCTCCTTCTTCACCACCGTCCATCGCCATCGTCGCGTTATTGCTACAGTATCTCAACTGATTCTTATACCGTCCAGCTCAGTAACCCTACCCTGGGTGAAACGAGACTGCAGTAAGTACTGGTACCTTTTTTTTGTCTCTCTGGTGTCTCCCTCTCCGTTCAATTTCTTGCTTGCTTCTGCTCTTTATTGTTTCCTTCTTCCTTTTTTTCCTCGATAGCGTTTGGATGCGACGCTGGGATGACTGGGCAGTAGGGAGAATTTCTTTGGTTTGCTTGCTTGCTTGCTTACTGCACGCCGGGGGCCACAGCTCTATCAGCTCTATCTACAGTGCACTTTTTGTCTTCAAGTACTATTGAATGGAGACAAGCAATTGTCCTTTCCCCCTCCATTGACCTCGTTTTCCCTGTGATTCTTCCTTGAATAGCAATCTCTAGTTATTGTTCATCTGTGCCTTCTTGCTGAGTTGCATCTCTTCTTCCCACGGCTTCACCACCGCCTCCCGCTTTCATTCTTCCTCACTCTCTCACTCTCTCACGCATTCTCTTTCTCACTTTCTCACTCTCCACAGCCAAGCCAACTCTATCCTCTTCTCCGTTACTCTCCCTTTTCCTTTCTTTCTCCCTCTCTTAACTCCATTTCGCTTGCTTACCTACAACTTGCCTCCACGGCTTTCCCTGATTTGTTCCTCTTTCCACCTACCTACCTACCGAACCCCCACCTTCACCACTACTCTTACCACAATCAATCACCACCAACACCAGCATTATCGACATAGACCAAACCAGCCCAGCCCAGTCCAAATCCCGAATTGTCGTACGAAAATGCATCCACGCTGATGCGGGATCTGCAGCTTTCACCACGCACGTTGCCAGGGTCATTGATTTCCCACTCCCCTCAATTCCCTATCGATTTCCCCCTCCACCCGCAAAATCGCTGTCGCGCCTACCTCCAATTGACAAGTCCATTGAGCAGAGGTCGCGAATAGAACGCCAATCCCTTCTTTCAGCGGATGCAGGTGTGTGTTAATTGTTCTATCATTCTTCTCTCCCTCACCTTGACCCCATATGTCCCCAATTTTCCTTTCTCCGTCGACTCCAATGATATCACGCTTCCCGGTGGTTCGAACCAAACCTTTGTGCCGACCGATTCCTTAGTACGAGGAGGAGTACCTTAGAGCTGCTGTCATGTCATGACCTAATCCTTTTCAACTGCCTTTTGTCCCTATTGAACTTAGCTTACCTATGGTGGTTATCTTGCAGCGACCCTGTGGGTTGAAACTCGAAGCTTCGAGGATAGGAGTTGGAGCACACTGATTAGCGATTTTCAACCCCTCGACATTTTGTTACGCCTCCTCCCGCCCATCCATTCAACGACTGCCACCGCACCAACGCCAGCACCAGAACTTTCTCCTCTTCCTCCTCCTCCTCCACCACCTCCTCTCACGACCCCTCTCGAGCAATCTCACTGGCCCTTCCTCTATTTGACCCAGAAGCAGTCGATCTGTAACATCCTCATCGCTTGTACTCCCAACGCGCCGGCCTCGACCGAATGTGCGACTCCGCGTCCTTTCCTCATCCCGGACTCCATGCGTTCAGCTAGCGACCCATTGGACGACAAAGGCCCTCAATTGTTGGAGGACGGTTGCGCAGCGTACGTTGGGTGTCAGCGTCCTGCAACGTAACAACCCCGCATCCTCTCATCGTCTCATCGGTTTCTGTGTCTCGGCTCGTCTGTCTGCATCTCCTGTAGCGACCTCGTTTGAGCGCCGCTGCTGCCGGTTCCGTCGTGCGTGGTTGGAAAAAAGATGGAGCCGGAAAGTTCCAACGGGTTCAAACGGAACTCCATCCACGGAATATATAGTCGTCCTGTGGAACGGCGCCCGAGCAAAAAGTCTTCCTCTAAGGACCGGCATGGGATGGTCTATCCAGAGAGTTTCAGAGATAAAGGCATTCGCACAGTGACCCCGGACCCCGAGGCGGGGAATCACTCCCCCTCGTCCGAAGCGGAACATCTGGCTTCAAGTGCGGCCCCCTCCCCTCGCGCTGCCGCCCGTACACGAGCCTCCGATCGCGAAGCCCGTCGCGAATTTTACTCGCGCCATTCGGCCGGTGACGAAGACGAGCCGCCGCTGGAAGTGAAGACCCAACGGGCGCGGTCACGGACCACCAACTTGGACGATCAGCGCAGTGAGCTCTCCAGCAATAATTTTTTTAGATCCCGGAATCGTCTGGGCTCCATCAACACCGCAACATCCCAACCTAGAACCCCCGACGATCAAACGACGTCGATCGGGTTCCCGTCAATACAATCGCCCACTTACCTTAGCCATACCCTTGGTCGGCAGCGATCAAGCAAGCCTCCCGGAAGCTCGAATTTGGTAACGAGCGTGTCGGCCAATCAAACAACATCCCCGCTGTCGAGTACCGATGCATCCAAAATCCTGCAGCTTATGAAAACAACTTGTGGAAGGATGCACGGCATTCTTTCGTTTCGGACTGCATCTACGACCGCTTGGTCATCGGGCTATTGCGCCATTAATGTTGCCACGGGAAGCTTGATATACCAAGCTAAAGGAGAGCCCGCATTGGCCAAAACACTGATCCCCGATCTTCGTGGCTGTCAGGTTCGCACCTTGGTCGATCCCGAGACCCGTACCAACTATCTCAGTGTATCAACCTTTACTTCTGGTCTAGGGGTGGAGCTGAAACCTCACGTCAGCGAAACATTTGATTCGTGGTTAGCTGCGCTGTTATGCTGGCAGCCGATCCGACCCAAAGGTGTTCAAAATAAGATGACGAAACCACAATCGGTGGTCATCGGTGATCGCCGCCTGGTTGAACGTAGGAGAAACTCGGAGAGCACTGTTCAGAAGGAGGCAGCAATCATCAAGGTGGGTAAAATGCTCCTCTGGGATAGGCCGAGTGCCTCTGGCGTTCGACCATCGTCAGGGCGTCGGGTTTCCACCTACAGACAGCAAAGGGCACTTTCTGCGTCTTGGCTACGCGTAAGCTGCACGCTGCAGGAAAACGGCGCTTTCAAGCTATACACGGAGTCAGACATCACTCTGGTCGCTTGCATTCAATTGTCGCAACTCTCCCGCTGTGCAGTACAACAACTGCACTCATCCGTCTTGGAAGATGAATTCTGCATTGCAATATACCCGCAGTATGCAGTACATTCTGCTTCGGGCCTAACGCGCCCAGTATATTTAGCTCTTGAAAGCCGCGTTCTGTTCGAGGTGTGGTTCGTCCTTTTGCGCGCGTTCACGATCCCAGAGCTTTACGGCCCTGAAACGCCAGTAGAGGAAGAGTCTCCGAAGACTCCAGGAACAAGCGAGACCAATGTCGCTTCTACCGCGGACATGTTCCGAATCGAGAGAGTACTTGATGTAAGAGTAACGGAAGCTAAGCTATATCGCTGCAGAACCGCGGAAAAGACTCCCCGCAGTCGAAAGCAGTCCCGGTCTCATAGCAACTCGGCCCCCGCCTCTGCAGTGAGTGATTACTATACCGAAGTTCTCCTGGATGGCGAGATTCGGGCGAAATCTGCCGTCAAATACCGCACAGCAAACCCTTTCTGGCGAGAAGACTTCACTTTCAGTGACCTCCCACCCGTTCTGTCACAAGTCTCCATTCTTGTCAAGACGATCAACTCGACCCAGAAGGATTGGTCACTGATCTCGCATGGCTCTTATGCCCTCGGTCATGATTCGAACCCTCTGCGCGCATTGGATGACGTAGAACTCGCTTCTCATGATGCCACGTTTGGCAGGGTTGACTTGAAACTAGATGACCTGCAGCCAGGGGTGGAAACCGAAAAATGGTGGCCAATCCTGGACGACAAAGATCAACCTGTGGGTGAAATGCTCATGAGGGCTCGGATGGAAGAGACTGTTGTGCTCATGTCGCAAGAATATACCCCGATGTCTGAACTTCTTCATTCCTTCACCAATGGTCTCACGATAAATATGGCTCAAGTCATGTCATCCGAACTTAATCAGCTTTCGGAAGCGCTTTTGAACATTTACCAGGTTTCAGGGACGACCGTCGAATGGATATCAGCCCTAGTAGAGGACGAGATCGACGGGGTGCATAAAGAGTCGACCGTAAGTCGACTACGATACACGTCGAGAATCCATTCCAACGACGCACGGGAATCAGCCCAGGACCGGGAAGTCCTCGTCAGAGACTTGGGCCGAACTGCTACTGTGGAAGCAAACCTTCTCTTCCGCGGCAATTCACTTCTGACTAAGGCACTCGATTATCATATGCGTCGACTCGGGAAGGAGTACCTAGAAGAGACGATTGGAGAGCGACTTCGCGAGATTGATGAGACTGATCCAGACTGCGAGGTCGATCCGTCTCGTGTACATCGTTCTGATGACCTCGACCGTAACTGGAGGAATTTGATTGCTCTAAGCAATGGGGTCTGGAAGTCGATTGCGGCCTCGCCCTCCAGATGTCCGGCCGAATTGAGACTCATTTTCCGCCATATCAGGGCGTGCGCGGAGGACCGATACGGCGACTTCCTTCGAACTGTCACGTACAGCAGTGTTTCCGGATTCCTATTCTTGCGATTCTTCTGCCCGGCAATCCTTAACCCGAAGCTCTTTGGATTGCTGAAAGGTATGCGCCCAACTTTTAGTCATGACTGTTTTCACCAGTGCTAATGGCAATCAGATCACCCGCGCCCTCGTGCTCAACGTACTTTAACCCTGATAGCGAAGGCTCTGCAAGGCTTAGCCAATATGACTACTTTTGGCAGTAAAGAACCTTGGATGGAGCCCATGAACAAGTTCCTGAACACTAACCGGTCCGATTTCAAACAATTCGTGGATTCGATCTGCGCGATTCCTGCTGACCGTCCGGCGCCGATCGTGACTCCCTCTTACGCCACGCCCATTCAGATTCTGGGCCGTTTGCCCCCAACCTCACGCGAAGGGTTCCCCAGTCTACCTTTTCTGATTGATCATGCGCGAAGCTTTGCCAATCTGATAAGCATCTGGCTGGACTCGGCACCAGAGAGGCTGAACGAGTTGGAGGAGGTCGACTCTGCTGTCAGCAAGTTCCATGAGCTAGCCCTCCGGCTCCATCAACGGACAAAGGATTGCATGAGCCGAGCCGAGCAAGCTGAGCGTCCAAGCGGAAACCTTGAAGTCAAATGGGAAGAATTGATTGACTCAATGGAGCGGTCCGCGACCTTCTACGACGACAGTTCTAAGCCCACCAGCCCGACGACGGAGGCGGCCGTGGCGGGATCTACCTCGGTGACGGGCAGTCATCGCAATTCAATCGGCTATTTCACTTCACGGCCGTCCCTCCCGCGTCGATCAACTGATCGCCCCCCTGAGGGTGATGAGGATACGCCACCCAGTTCTTCATCTGCGACGTGGGATCAGAGTCGAGTGCCCTTCACAATCCCTCGGTGGGCTGATCCGCGGGATAGTACCGGCAGCTCAAAAAACTCCTCGACATATTCCCTCGACCAGGAGCCGTCCAGATCTAGACGCTCCAGTATTACAAGGGAGACTACAAGCAAATATCGTTTCTTTGACTTTGTCCCCGCCACCTCTCGACGCAAAGCCAAAGATCGAGATCAAGCCCAACAGCAGTCCCGTGAAGAACAACGGAGTGAGACATGAGTATAAAAGCGTCTTCATAGGCCCGAACATCTACGCTTCGACGTTCATGATGACTATGGCGACCAGGAGCGGCCTGGTTGATACATGGGCTTCCCAACAATAGCCTTGTGACGCATTCATCCTTACATTGGAGCTGAGCTCCTGTCTTGTGGAGAAACCGACTTTCCAATTCTCGAGGACAAGCCGACAGCGGGATGTGCGAACCTCGACTGAAATGCGAACCATATGGCAGGTGGCAGAATTATTGTTTGTTGTTCATCTTCTCCTTTTCTGTATAACACAAGAGATCGATTCCATTATCGAAAGACCTGCGTCTTCTGGTGTAAATTCTTCTCCTCCCCTCGCCGTTCTCTTGCCTCCATTGATTTTCCTCTCTTAAGCAGCATGTGCCCACGATCTAACGTACTTTCTTCTGTGTGGTTGTCTCTTTGTTTCCTCCTGGAAAGCATTTTGTTCTGGTGTTGATACCCTGCTCCAATTGGGGTTGTTTTTGCGTCATTTGGTCCCTGGACGTGTGAACAGCCCACTGGATGGATATATTGGATCTCTTGAGGAATTGGGATGCCTCGAACGTGAGAGATGACCGACCCCACCCTTTGTTCTTCTCTTTTCTTTGGCCCCCTCTACATTTTCTCCTTGTGTAAATAGCGTCTTTTCTTCTCACCAGATTGGTCTGGGTATAGATGACACGACTACTCCATTAACCTGTTCGATACCGACTATTGGCTTTGTTTTCTGGAGCATGCGTAACCTAGGAAATTACTCTGGAACTCCACCCCTCCCCTTTGGAGAAGTGGAAGTGACTGACATACTGTCCACTCACAGGTCAGCTGGCCTGATTTTCGGGAGATCGAGTTGTCTCTCCAGTCATATCCGATAGCATGCTAATCATCTAGATACCTGTTCGGCATAGATGTACTCGAAAATGCCGGTCTCGCCTGTAAGCCTGGATGGAGCGCGGAAGTTCCCCCGACGGCCCTCATGAGGTTGAAATCAGGGAGGGTCGGGATCGCCGTCTATGAATGCTTATCAGTGTGAATAAAAATCTGCGCTCAACCTTGGCCTGACCTACCCCTTCCATAGGGCCTGAACTTCGTCTTCGATATTATCTAATCACGATGGTGGAGCATCAGGGTGGGCACCGTCAGGAACAAGATCAACGACCCTTGAGGAAGTACTGTTAAGGAGGGACTGGCAGTACCAAGGCAAGGAAGAACCAGGCGCAGGTCCATGTCGGCAGCCTCAGATAGAAGAACGCGACGCATTCAGCGCCCAACGCCTTCCATCGCTCCGCAGCGATGAACAGGGGTACGAAAGTTACATCGCGTTCAAGGCAAGTAGGCTAGATCTACGGCGAACGGCTGCTCCACCGGTAGCCCGATCCAGGTCAAATCGTGCAACATCTGCTGCCATACGGTCGCATCCCAATCTTCGGCCACCGCCGCCGCGAACCCTGGGGCTCGAGGGGGATCGTCGGGTGTTGGTTGCGGTGAGATATGAGCGTTCTCAGCGTGCTGGGTAGATGGTGTTCTAGTATCTCCTCGATCTGGTGTGGAATGGGGCCGTGCCCGACTGCTCTCCAACCATGAGAGCATGGATCCAATCACTGCACGGCATTTGTCCCAAAAGTCATCGTTCCGGGACATTGTCGCCATCTTCTGCATAGCCGCCAGGCCGAGGTTGTGGATGTCTTTGGGACGGACGTCGACTGCCTTGCCTTTCGTCGCGGCATCCGAGAGTAGGCTCAGCTTCGATAAGACCAGCAGGCCGTACTAGATGGATGTGTAGCTGAACATGGGGAGGTTGGGGGTGACTGAAGCCGGCGATGCGAGGAATACTGTCACGGCGTTGAACGCGGAACGCGCGATGGTCAGGAGTTGCTGTTTCTCATACTGGCGAGGGTCATCCTCTTGCTGCCGCAGGGCGTGTCCGAGAACAATGGCCGGCATTGCGTTGAGCTCCAAGCGCAGGGCCCCTATTGAGGTCAGGAAATGGCCAAGCTATTCTATTCAGTCGCGGACGGGACATACAAGTATTACACTGTATTTTCTGTACGAGACGGTGCTCGATTCGATTCTCAAGTATGTCCATAGACCGGGACAGTTCGTCCGTGCTCATCGCATGCATAGGGTCTTCGACTTCTGGCTCCGATCGCCGAGCAAGCGATTGGATCTCAATTAGTGCTTTGAGAGACTGGTCCGTGGGATACTCCGCCCTTTGCCCTAAGCTGTGGGCACAGTAGTCGACTCAGTCCGTGTTTTTCATGATGAGCTGTCGCCGGAATGTCGAGGCCCTGGTTCTGTTAGTCAATAACTCTGGACTGCATATCATATTCACAGCTCGTACTTGGAACATAGATAATAGCACCCTAAAAAGGCACGCTGTCCGTCAGGGGTCAGATAGAGCGCTTGGGCTTTGTGTGGTTCCTCCGCCTCTTTTTCTTCGGGATAGTGGCGCTGCATTCTGAAGTTGTCGCATCTATCCAGTCCCAAGTCCACAACGATGGCCATAGCCATCTGCAGAAGCATGTGCACCTGGGTATGGTAAACGCGCCAGTGATAGTGATACCATGCGATATGGACCAGTAACCCCCGGAGTAGATCCATGTCCCTCTCCATGTTCATGACTATGCGGGTCGAGATCACAGCTCGTGCTTTGAGCTCTAGTTTTTGCTGTAGATCGGGCCTATGCTCGAGACAAGCTGTTATTATGCACAGGAGAAGGAATGGAGACTGCTTGCCCAGTTCGACAAAGCTCGCTTCGGGTACAATGACGAATGGAAACAGGGGCATCAATCCTGTGCGGAATTTCGAGAGTAGCTCTTCGCCTTCAGTGATACTGAGAAGTCCCCGTGTGATTAATTTGTGGAGCGGCTCAGGTATAGAGCTTGGGTGTGACGAAGTATTACTGACTGTAAAAGGGGATGACATTTCTGTTATAGATGCCAGTCCCATTCTCGGGTCCAAGTCGAGCCGTTGAGATAGTCTTCTTTTTAGGTGCATGGCTCGGAAAAGGCTACCTTGTCAGTATGTAACTGAGCAACAAGTGTGTCGACCTGTTGCTGGATGATCGCAATGCGGCTGTTCCTGGAGTCAGGGAGAGAAAGGTTACCCATCAGTCTACCCCCAACACAAGGGTACAATATATGGCTATGAGCTAACCTGATGCTTGCATTGCTGCGCGAGCTGTCTGGAGAAGCACAGTGTCGGTCAAGTCTCGCACACCGTTGACAACGTCCACTCTCAACTGGCACGCATTTCACTTTCAATGGAATGCATCGTACGCAGGCATGCCGCCTCGAGGGCGCTTGCGGAGGCATTTCTCTTTGTACTGGACAATAGCTCCGGTCTCAAGGCAACTGAATGAGGGACGGTAAGTTGACAAGCCGGAGGTAGAGAGAGTACGGAGATCAACACGGCGCGGGGTCGGAGTCGGCCTCGGAGCCAACCACAAAGCCGGGACCGGTCTCGGTCTACTATACCAACAGATTACCCGATTCGGTAATTGTTGGTATGATCCAGGACCTGGGCTTCGAAATCAGAAACAGCATAAAGCTGTGTCCTCATTGCCATGAACTACCCAATACAGTCTTCACAAATCTCGATCAGTTATAGCTGGAAGATGTCTGCAAGTCCTCCTGACGCAGCACAGCCAATCAGTTCTGTGAAGCTGTATAGCATCTTGGCCGGGCTCATGATAGCCACGTTCCTAATATCATTGGATGTCTCCATCATCGCTACTGTAAGTTCACCCTCAGTTCTTTGTTTTTATTTGCCCTTCTTGAAACTCAAACTTACCCGTCAAAGGCCATCCCCCCAATATCAATCCAATTCCATGCTACAACAGACATCGGCTGGTACGGAGCGACCTACCCACTCACGATGTGCGCTCTTCAACCTCTCAGCGGCAAGCTCTCCTCACTGATATCGCTGCGATGGACCTACCTCGCATTCTACGTCATATTCCTGCTCGGATCCCTGATCTGCGGCGTGGCCAACAGCTCCAGGATGTTCATCATCGGACGAGCCGTCGCGGGGGCCGGAGGCTCCGGGGTAGTATCGGGTGGGCTCTCGGTGATTGCAATGATCACCACCCCGCAGCAGCGTCCACTGATCACGGGCTAATTACCTCTCTTTATGCCCTGGGAACTGTAGTCGCCCCGATCATCGGCGGCGCGCTGACTGAGCATAGGACGTGGAGGTGGTGCTTTCTCCTCAACCTGCCCGCAGGAGCCGTGACGGTGGTGGCGTTGCTCTTATTCTTCCACCCCCCTGCTCCCAACACCAACAATGGGGGTGTCCATCGCGCATCCCTCCTAAAATAGCTCGACCTTCTCGGATGCGCGCTCTTCATACCCTCCATCATCATGATTATGCTGGCCCTGCAATGGGGCGGCAGCGAATCCGCCTGGGATTCAGCGACGGTGCTCGGACTCTTCGTCGGCTTCGCATTCACGATGACAATCTTTGTCGTCTGGGAGTGCCACATGAAGGAGCAAGCCATGATCCCCATCGTGCTGTTGCAGGGCAGGTCGACCATGCTCAGTCTTGCCTTTGCGTTTGTGTTCATGGGGTCGTTCGTCATCCCGGTGTATTTTCTACCCGAATGGTTCCAGATCGTCCAGGCCGCGAGCCCCATGCGCAGCGACGTCATGCTTCTGCCGTCGGTGTGCAACCAGGTGCTTGGATCCCTCGTCTCCGGGATCCTAGGTAAGTCAAGCTTAGGGCTCATGCTATCCCCGTTTCCCCAGCAAATCCACAACTAACGGCGGAATCCCTATAGCCAAGAACCTCAGCTACTACAACCCGTGGCTCTTCATCGGCTCCGCCTTCCTCTGCATCGCCAACGGGCTGTACACAACCTTCACTGTCTCCTCAGGACCCGTCGCATGGATCGGGTACCAGATCTTTTAGGGCCTGGGCTGTGGCGTTGCCGCCCAGTTCCCTTTGCTGATGGTGCAGCTGGCACTGAAGGATCGACCGCGCGACGTCCCTGTTGCGATCGCCACGGTTCTTTTGACGCAGTACTTTGGGAGTGCGGTGGTGCAGAGCATCGGGGGAACCATTTTTCAGACTGAACTGAGAAAGCAGCTGCGGGATCGGGCTTCGTTGGAGTATACGCAGGTGGAGATGTTGCTTGAGGCTGGGACCCGCGGGATGCGCGAGGTGGCTGCCCAGGCATTTCCGGATCGGTTGGCTGAGGTGGTTGTTGCGTATGACAAGGCTATTACTACTGTGTTTGTGAGTTGATTCTCTAGGCTTTGTGAGGTGTGTGCGCGCTACGCTGACGGTGCTTGTTCACCAGTATCTTCCCGTAGCTGGGAGCGCTCTGGCGTTTATAGTAGCCGGCGGGATTCCATGGGTCAATACTCGCCCGGCGCAGGGAAATGGTGACTTGCTTTGTGCAGAGCGAAGTGAGAAATCTCAGTCGGATGGGCAGGTCACTGTGTGAGGAATTAGCTTGCTGCGCGTGGTCATTGGGTATGCAACACTGACTCTAGAGGTTCTGGCGGTATCAATGGTAACATTAATGCAAATTGCAAAAGATGGCCAGGAATGGGAAGGGTATACTCTTGAAGGAGGGTGATATATTGACCCAGATAGATTATATAACTAATACTAATGCAAACCAATGGGAAAGGGAACCTCGATTATCTGGGTCAATTCTATAATGCGTACCGGAACTCCTTGTCCTGCTTGTCAGTCAGGTCATTGCTGGGTAAACCATTCTCATCGAGTTCGATCTGCGGATCAGTCCCCTGCAGCTCCGAAGACCTCATCTGCGCGTCACGCTTGCGGTTGTCGGCCGCACATAGAAAGCGGTAGACGATGACGGCCACGAAGAGGAGACACCATGTCACAATGGAAGTGATCACGCCCTCGGTATACCGTGGCTTGTGCGTCCACAGCTGTGGTGAGCCGATGCAGCCTGCCGAGTAGCCTATGAAGAACATGGTGTTCACGATCGCCCGTTTGGTGTTGCCCTTCACATTTGAGGCGGAGAGGGAGAGAAGTATAGACATCGATGCTGTAATGCACGAGGACTAGACAGGGTCAGCATTGGTTTTAATTTCCAGAGCCATCGTACCAAGGCCCCGCAAGTATTGTGCATGTAAACTCACCACCCAAGCAGCAACGATGAGCCCCCACTCCGCCGCCACGTCAAGCTTCATCAAGAACACCGTCCCCACCAGTGGCGGGATGATCAGCAGCAGAACCACCAGACTCCGCTGCCGCGGGAACCAGTACACCAGCGCCGTCCCCACCCAGAGCAAAGCGACCTGCACGGCACCGGAGGGGGCCGTGTAGAGCATCGTCTCCAGCTTGCTATAGCCGATCGATTCAATCACCAGCGACGCAAAGGTCAAGACGGGGGACTGCATGGTGACCAGCACGCCGAACCAGAACACCGCCCAGGCCTTGGGGTCCAGCAGGGCCTCGCGCAGCTGCGGCAGGGCGAAGGACGTCTTGTCGCCGCCCTCGCGATCCTCGGCCATGCGCAGTGACAACACTGTCTTCTCGCGCGCGGTCAGAAACCAGGCGTCCTTGGGCCCGCTGGGCATCAGCACGAAGAACCCGATCCCCGCTGCCACGGTGAGCGCGCCGCAGAGCAGGAACAGCACCCGCCAGGGGGCGATTGCCAACGAGGAACTGTTCTTGCCGATGCCGTACATCAGCAGACAGCCAATCACCTGGGCGACGCCGTTCATGGTGATCCAGAGCGCCGTCCGCACCGTGTGCTCCCTTTTCCGGTACCAAGTCCCCGTGATGGTCACGAATGCCGGGGAGACGGCCCCCTCGCTGAAGCCGAGGAGGAACCGGACTGTCGCGAAGCCGGCAAAGTTTCTCGGGACGGCCAGGCACATGCAGATGATTCCCCATATGATACTGTCATGGAAATTGGGGTACCCATCAGCTCGACTTGTTTTGTGTTTGCTGGTCGCTCTGAGGAAGGGGGAAACGTACACGGTTGCACCCACGAACTTGGTCAATGGGAGCCGACTCATCAGATAAATGAAGGGATATTCCGCGACAAGCTGGCCGACATAGAAGATTGAGCTGGACCATGAGTATTGTGAGTTCGTTAGATTCAGATCCTCGATCAGGCCGAACACGGCCGCATAGCTCAGACTCTGCTTGTCGAGGTATTGCAGGAAGAATACGAAGCACATCTGCAATGATGAGCACCGTCAGCTTCGTGCACCTTTGTTGGATCATAGTTGGAAGACTCACGAATGGCAGAATGACCATGTCAATCTTGCGTAGCACTGTCTTTTCTTCTTCCGCGGTATACGTATCTGATCCCACCGCGACAACCTCGCTACTCCTGCGGGTGCCATGATCCTTTTTCTCTGGGTCGTTCATTGTTGGAGAAGGTGAGGAGTGAGCTTATGTGTTTTGAGCAGTTTAAAGGAAGTAATAAGGAGACATTTGGCTTTGCTTGGCTGAGAATAGGACTGGTGTTGAATATACAGCCTGTTTGCCGGTCGACTCGGATCCCCAAACACAAGATAGGATTCACCAGGGATGATATATGGCCGGCATCACACCCCAGATTTGTCAATTGACCAATCAGGAATTCTTATCTTTCCAAGTTCAAGTTCTAGTATGAAAGTTGTTCAATAAACGACGTTGATAAGGGTGACCAGCGATACGAAGCAATGGATGATGGATGAGGGTCATCGATCCGATGCCGACTCGGCAATCTGCAATCTGCAAGGCCAACTTCCCGACAAGGACAAGGACGACATCCATCTGCAATGCGACCATCACCAACCATATTTCAGCCATCTTCTAGGAAGTGTTCTTGATCTCTCTCTCCTCCCCCCCTCTCTCACCCTTGACTTGATCGATCAACTGAGTGAACACATAATACTCATCATGCCTTATCACCCACCAGTTCCAGGCTCCGACATCAAGCCTTGGGCCCGCGCAGCCCCGCGGGGGTATCTCTTCACCAACGCCAACATCGTGGATGTACAGGAGGGTTGTATCCTGGAGAATGCCGACCTCATTACCCGCCACGGGAAAATTGAACTCGTCTCCGTAGCTTCTCCTTCGCCCGAGACTTCCTTTCCTTCCGAGCTGAAAGTCATCGACTGCAAAGGCCACTATCTATGCCCGGGCCTCTTCGACGCCCACGTCCACCTGTGCGCCGTCCCCGGCTACAAAGACCTCTCCAAAGCGTTCGGGAACTCAGACCACGCATCCCTACTGCGGCAGCCCTTCGTAGCAGCCCAGATGCTGCATCGCGGCTTCACGAGCGTCCGCGACTGCGGAGGCGCCCAGCTAGCACTGAAGGAAGCCATCGACGACGGGGTCTTCCCGGGGCCCCGACTCTTCATCTCGGGCCACGCCCTCTCCCAGTTCGGCGGCCACGGCGACCTGCGGGGCCCGCACGACCAGACCGAATGCTGCGGCGGCCTGCACCGCAACAACCACCTGGGACGGCTCTGCAACGGCGTGCCGGAATGCATGTCCGCCGTCCGCGAGGAGATCCGGTGTGGCGCCGACTTCATCAAGATCATGGGCTCCGGGGGCGTCGCCTCCCCGACGGACAAGCTCGAGCACCTGCAATTCACCAGCGCCGAGCTCGAAGCCATGGTGGAGTGCGCGGACAACGCGGGCACGTTCGTCACCGCGCACGCCTACACCGTCAAGGCCATCCGGCACTGCATCGACCACGGCGTCCGGGGCATCGAGCACGGGAACTTCGTCGACCCGCCCACGGCCCGACTGATGGCCGAGCGCGGCGTCTACCTCACCCCGACCCTGATTGCGTACGCGCAGATGGCCTCCGACCAGTGGCAGGGCTACCTGCCGCCCGAGTCGCAGGCGAAGAACGCGCAGGTGCTGCAGTCCGGGCTGCAGGCCCTGAAGATTGCGGCGGAGGCGGGCGTCACGATGTGCTACGGGTCCGATCTGCTGGGGCCGTTGGGGTCGGCCCAGACGCAGGAGTTCGCCCTGCGCGCGCAGGTGCTCTCCCCGCTGGAGATCCTGCGCAGTGCGACGGTCCATCCCGCGCAGATGATGGGTTGCGGGGATGTGATCGGGCAGATTAAGGAGGGCTTTCGCGCGGATGTGGTCTTCCTGAACCAAAATCCGCTCGAGGATGTGACGGTCTTTGATCGGCCGGAGGAGCATGTGCTCGGGGTGATGAAGGATGGCCGCGTGTGTAAGAGTCGCTGGAGCGCGCTGGCGGAGGATGCGGAGATTCCGGTTCGTGTTCAATATAACTGACTTATGGGAGTAGATGTAAGGAATTGATTTTTGATCCTCCCAGTGAATGAGCCTTTCTGGGGGTCTGGCTTTTCTCAATAGTGCTGATCTTGTGGTTACAGTGTAAGAAGCTCTTTGTGTGTTGAGTGATTAGCTCAAATGCATGCGTAGGTTCCTAACAAGGAAAGCGCGAGACGGCTGTGACTGCTTCAAGTGGGCATCTACAAAGAGCGTGATAGGAGTAAGGCGTGGCTATGACCTCTCCGACTAAATGCCATTGATGTAATATGCAAGTGGCTTCTACAAATCTTGGTTAAATGATGATAAGTACGATCATTCCATCTGGCCCATCAGACCCGAGAAATCCAGAGCATCGCCTAGAGCATCTAGTCCAGTTAGCCCCATCAAGAACGACTGCTCATCGTTGTGTAGGCCGGAGAAAAAGTCATTTGGCAAAAGCGGACAAGAAGATCCCGAAGACGGATTCGAATAACCCTCAGGAATGGATGTTGCCTCTGGGATGTGTTGCTCCATCGGTGTTTGCCAGGTGGCCGGTACTGCCAACCATGACTCCGCATCCCGGTCTCTACTATCTGGGACTTCTTCTCGTTGCCCAATCCCACAACATTCGCGACTTTTGGAGTCTTCTTGTACGGCGAACCACTCCAGCCACTGGTTGTAGCCCAAATGCGCATCCAGGTCTGGAGCCCCTCGAGACATGGCAGGATTGTCCCGTTGTTGCAACTTGCTCGCAGCTTCATTTGTGATCGATTGCACCGCTTCAACAAAGCTCACACCCAATTTGGCGGTCATATTCCCTGTGGCCATCTTCCGCAGACAGTTGAATCCCAGCTCCACCCGACTATCATACCCCGAATCGCGTTCCAAGATCCCTGAGACCAGGGTAACGATAGTTGCGATGCTGCAGCCCTGGAAATCGGTGAACGAGAACCTGGTGATGACTCGATGTCGCGTCAGGCTCTCGAAGAGGCGTAGAATCTTCCTCGCGGCTTTTGTGCAGCCATTGGCCAGGCTCTCGACCTTGTCGCTGATCTCCGGTGCGTCGCAATCAGCGGGCGGTTTCAACTTGGTCCTAGCCAAAGTTACCAAGGCGACTTTGCCCATCGTGATCATTGCATAGCAGTAGTTCAGGTACAGATGGGCTATGGCTCGATACTTCCAGCTGCTTGGAGGGATCTGGTCGAGTTTCAGGTTGGGGGGAAGTGATCGCTTCCATGCTTTGAGGTCATCTTTCCATGTTGATTGGGATATGTCTGCTGAGCTGGGTAATCCATCACTAGAGTATGTCAGTATAGTTGACTTCCTCATGTGAGGGAATGTAGCATACGCAGGACCGGCGATTTCGTCAAGTATTCTGACCAAGCGAACGTAAGCCAGCTGGCAGTCGAGGTTCTCGAACGATTGAGCTCGGTCAAGGACGGCGTTCTGAGACGGGTATGCCACCGTGATTATTCGGGTATCAGTTGAGCGAGGCCGGTTCAGCTTTACAGTGGTACAACTTTGACCGACTTAGCAGAAATGCCAGTAGAGATAGGGAGGGTCTTGGAGCACGAGCCACGCACCGTTCCAGCGCATAAATAGACCACCAAAGACGACATCTCACTTCTATATCTCGCTCGGTCATGGACAGATCTTCTGAGTTGAGATGCAGATCGCATGCTAGAGCTTTTCGTAATGCCAGTCCCAGATAAACGTAGGATGTCCCAAGCGCACTTGCAGGCATGAAATAAACTCCCAGGACAAATGGGGCTTGAACGGATCTCAAGCATGAGCGTTCGATGATATCCGGTATGAGGGTCTTAGCATGAGCCGCAAATCTATGTCCGAGCTCTACATTCTCTTTGGGTAGTAGGCTAGGCTCGAATCCTGCGGGCTTCTCCAGCGGTGTCCACTGACTCCCCAGAGCGAAGGTGGCCATGGCAAGGCAGACGAAGGCTGAATCAAATCTCAAAGGTGAGTCTAAGTCCGTATAGAACTCATCAACGTCGGCGAGCATTTGAGCTTGATCGAAATAGAAAAAAACATCGGTGGCGTGCTTCATGAAGACGTGGAGCAGGAAGTCGGCCACTGGACGGGGAGGGAACGCATCGATGGCTGCTTGTAATCTTGATAGTTCGGAGGGATGTAGCCCTTTTGGTTGAATCATTCTCTTGAGATAATCAGTCACACAGATATCCGCTGCGTTGCAGCGTAGGATCATACCGCCTGCATCGCGACCATCTCCCGTTCTTCCGGAGCATGATGGGGGCCGAGCGAGAACGCTTCTCGAAGCCGAGATAGGAAATTGGGCCACAGAACTCGCTTCGACTGATCTGCAATGACGTGTGTCGATAGACCCTGCGACAGAACAGAGGCTGGGGATAAAAGTTCGGAGTGATCAATCGATGCATGATCTGGCAACCGTCTTGTAGAATCGATGGCTGCGCTCGGGGATTGCGCTGGGACTTGGGTAAGCGACGATTCAGTCCCTGGCGAGTCTCCTCTAGCAGTTAGCAGTCAGTCGCGTAGCCCAGATTCGATGAGAGAAAATCATTAGGTTTCATACTTCTCGAATTTACAATCTAAATTCCTGAGTGTACATCGCTGACATTTGTGGTGTGCATCCATACGAGGGTTACCCCTTGCTGGGATGCATTTGCTTTTCCTTCTCTTGCATAGAGTGCACCTGTCAGCTTGTCAGTACGCACTCAATCGGTAAAGCGTGTACAATGACCATTGGCTCTCACGCTCGTGGTGCTCTCTTTCGATCCACATCTGCAACGCGCCGCCGTCTTCTCCGCCTCTCTGCAGTACTAGTCGAATCCATAGTCATTAGAGCCCTGAGCAGTCAGGATGCGGCAATCTGACACTCAGGTGACGACTTCAATCAAGCTCATCGAGACTTCTAGATTCCTAGGCATCTGCGGACGTGCACAGGAATGAGTGAGTCGGCAATCTGTCCCGGACAAAGTACATACAGACATCCGACCCGCGCCTCCGCTTATCTTCTCCGCATTTCGGTGCGGGGGTTTGCCGACGCGATTGATAGCCGTTGATAACCCAAGTTACCAGTCAGCTTTCAGTTCGCTAGGGTATTGACTTTGTACTTGTGGAAAGTATTGGAAAGTGCAATTGAGAATGCTCTTCACGAGCCTATCTACTGGAAGCCACTGACTGCCCTGCCAAAGCTTAATCCCGCTTACAAAATCCGAATATGCTAACACGACTATTTACAGATCTACAGTACATCCAACAAGAGCCGCCGCCGCCAACGTAAAAACCAGAATCACCTCAGAACGAGACACGCTTCCCTTCGCCTGAATCGTTTCACATCACTATACTACATCCACAAGCAGATCTTCCCGCTTGCCGTACCGCCCGCCACCCAGTTCTTACTCCGATGGAAGACCGCCACCGCGGGGACAGCCGTGATGCCCTCGCCGCCGAGCTGAGCCAGTTGATCCCCGGAGGCGCTGTAGACATCGACAAAGCGGTTCATGTTGCCAATGCAGAAGCGCTGGATGGGGGACTGGGGGTTCTGTTGCCACTGGGGGCGAAGGCTTGGGATATTGTCAGCATATGGGTCCTTCCAGCGATAGTGAGGGTATTGTTTGTTTTGGGGAAACATACATAGTCACCCATCGTCCCGTCTGGCAGTTGTGCCTGACGACCGTCTGGGGCTTCAACTCGTCTTCGGAGAGTGTGTGGCCTTTGTCCCACGTGTTGATTCCCTTGGGGCCGCTGAGATCGTAGATCTTGATGGTGTCGTCGTACGAGGAAGTGGCAATTTGACCGGCACTGTTGAAGGCAGCATGCGACACGGAGAGTCGACTGTAGTGCTCGCCGACGGGAACCCAAGAGGGCTGCTCGTCGTCATCTTCTTGTACTTGGCGTCGGGTGGACCGTCCAGCAGCTTTGGTGGGGGCTTGCAGCATGCGGAGATCCCAGAGGCGCATGGACCGATCGAGCGAGGCAGTTGCAAAGTAATGGGGTCGCGCGGGGTAGAGGGAGAACCCTCCGATCTTCTTCTCGGCGAGACGCCAGGTGGTCACGGACTGCGGTTTCGAGCGCTCGAGACGCGTGTCGTAGCGCCCAAATTCACCGTCGAGGGTTGTCCAATAGAGGACGTGCGGGTCGTCGGCGGCCATATCAAGGCCCGAGATGGGTACATCGTCGGAGGTGGATTCGGGGGCGTATTGCTCGACGCTGGTGGACTTCTCGAGGTCGGTCGCGCGGATGCTGCTGTCGTAGCTGGCGGTGTAGATGCGGGTTGGGGTGGAAGGGTGGATGTAGATGGAGCTGATGGTGCGAGTGTGCGGTTTGAGGGTGGTGAAGCTGGGGTCGGGGTCCTCATCGTCCTCGTCCTCGTCGCCGGACTCCTCGGCCTTGATCGCGTTGTTCCGTTCTTGCGATGCGTCAAGGATGCCAATGTGGCCCAATTTGTCGCCAGCAAAGAGAAGCGGCTTCGTCTCAGTGGGGTGGAAGGCCATAGTGTATATTCTTTCCGGGGTGAGTTTGATGCCTGTTGTGGACGTTGTGATTAGTATAGAAGTCTCAAAATTTGGGGGGTGAGGGTAAACAGACGGTTGGGCTCCCACGCATCCCACAGCTTCAATCCGCTCATCTCCTCCCTCAATGCTTTTAGGTCTTTATCCGTCGTCTGCTCGATATCATCCTCGTCAAACGTGCGCTGGTACGGCATCGCTACACCCTTGGTGACCACATCCACCCCGATCAAACTATCCCCCGACAGCTTCTGCCCGTACACCACCATCTCATTGAACGAGAAGGCGTCCGACCTGCGCACGCGCTTCGCCCGCTCCGCCGCCTGCAGCGCCGCATCCACCTCCTCCGCTTTCCGCTTCGCAACCTCGCTTTCCGCCGCGATGCCCCTCAGTCGCGACGACATCCTGCGCGGCACCGGCGACGCCTCCTCCTGTTTGACGCGCTTCATGGGCGTTTTCTTCTTCGCGCGAGCGGACTGATCCCGCGATGAAGGGGTACTGGAAGGCTGCATCTTAGGCGGGAAGAGCCCCGAGGACTGCGCCTCCAGGGAGAGCTTCTTGAGGAGCGCATCGCGTTCGGCGATGTTGGCCAGACGCTGCTTTTCGAAGTCGGAAATCTCCTCGCCCATTGTTTCTTTAAGGATGGTACTTTTAGGTATCGATGATTAACGAAGGACAGATCAAAGGCTAGAAAATCAGACAAGAGGAGACAAGACGGGGTGAGTGGCACACGTAAGAAAGAAGCTTTGAAGAGGGAAAAGAGTGAGTGAGTGGGACTGCGATGCATTTGCTGGAGAAAGCGGCGCGTCTGGACCCGCCGCGTGGGCACGTGACTTTAATTGACCGGGCGGCGGCAAATGGCAAAAGTGAAATAATTTAAAATCCTCCGCGGAAGTTTATTCCATACAATTTTTGGTCCGCAAGCCTGGGGGTTCTTATTTTCGCCTTCTGATTCTCTCCCACCACCGCCTTTTGCATTAGTGTTATATACACACTGCAGGAAGAGCATGATGAGTGCTCGCAACGCTCGCGCCTGGCTGGCCCTGGCCCGAGCGACTCGCAACTCCTCCGTTCCATTCCTCTATCAGACTCGCACGCTCGCCGCGGTGCCCAAATTGCGATATCAGCACCGGCAGCTCCAGCGTCAACAGATTCAGTCAATTATGATGTCAACCGAGGCGCAACAACAACAGCAGTCACAGGAACAATCACAGGAACAAAATGACAACACAGAATACTCTAAACCTGACCCTTCAGCACAAGAAAGCACACCACCAGCACCCCGGCCCGGACGCCGCAGCTTCCTTAAGCGCAAGGCCGCCTCTGTATCCTCCATCGCTGCCCCAGCGCAATCATCCTTAAACCGACTCAAACCCCCTCCCCGCGCCTTGACGATGATGACGAACAGCGAGAAACAAGCCTTTGGCGAGATGCTCGAGGCCCTTGGCGCCGGAGCCGATCTCAAGCCCAATAGCGCGTTACCCACATTGTCCGCATGGCCACCGCCGCCGCCCCAACCCTCAGCGCCTGGCGTTGCTTTCCCGGATTCATCCTCTCCCTCCGAAACCGAACAACCTCAATCCCAACCTCCCGCCGCCAACGAACCCACCGAAGACGACCTCCACGAAATGTCACAGATCTCCGCCATCTTCGAGTCCGTCCTCCAGGATCTGAAGGAGCGCAAGGTCCGGCAGCAGCGGCAAGAACAGCAAAAATTAGAGAAGCGGGGCCAATCTTCCCTAGTGACCCCGTACTCGACCTCGTACCATGCCGGGGGTGACGACCCGGCGGCGTTGCCGGCGAGTTCCTCGCTGACGGAGTTCATCGAGTTGCGGCTGAAGAGAGGGGATTTCATCAACGCGCAGCTGACGGACTGGCTCACGCGGAACCTTGTCTCGACGGAGCGGGCGGTGGAGGCGGTGGTGCTGCGCGAGAGCCATGTGATCGAGACGGCGCTGCTGAGGGCGGTCAAGGGAAAGCATGGGGACAGGAGGCTCTGGGATGCTTGTCGCGAGATGGTCTTTCCGCTCGTTCGTGTTTTGGAGACGGATGTGGGGATGCAGCATTCCGACACGAACGCTGACGAGACGGAGGTGCTCAAGGATGAATCTGACGACATGTTCTTCGCGCCGGAGGAACCAGCGGAGGTGGAAGATGATCCTTGGGGCGCTGAGGTGGAGGTGGAGTATGAGGAGGTCAGTGAGCCGCAGGAGACTGAGACTTCGACGGCCGCGAACGGTGAAGGACAGCAGGAGGGAGAGGCAGCGACAATCAATGAGGAGGACATCGAGCCTCAAGGGGAGAGTGCGTACAAATTGGTTCTCCCCGAGGGCGTGCCCGTCTCCTCGGTCGTCGCCGAACTATACCCCAAGATGCTCCTGGCCGCCTTCCGCCTGCTGAACCTGCACTCCCCGGCGTCGCCGCTGATCGGCCAGTTCCGGTCCACCATCCGCCTGATGGGCCCCACGTCCGCCGTGCTGGGCGGCTCGACCGGGCTCTACAACGAGCTGATCTACTTCTACTGGCGCGGGTGCCAGGATCTGCCGGCCGTGGTCGCCCTCATGCAGGAGATGGACGTCACCGGCGTGGAGCCGGACGCTCGCACGGTGCGGATCCTGGGCTCGATCGCCACCCAGCGCACGCGCGATCTCAAGGCGCACTGGAAGCGGAATATCGGATCGCTCCCTCGGCCGCGGAACCCGGCAGAGAAAGTGCGCGTCGGCCGCGAGACGTGGTGGGATCTGGCGCCGAACCGCAAGGCCTTCCGGGCCCTGTACGACGACGACGGGTGGGTCGCCAAGGTGAAAGCGCGGGTCGAAGAGCTGAGGCGCCGAGAGCAGATGAACAAGCCCCAACGACGAACCTAGCAGCGTCAAGGGTCATGTATAGAAAGATTTCGGAAATATCCCCTATCGTGTATAATATCTTGTAAATCACATATCCAAACCCTAGAACAGTATACAAGCGGCGGCGAATGCTCTCGATGAACAAGATCTAAAAAGATAATTAAATATGATACCAGACTCCCCTGTTTTCCTCTTTCTTAAATCTTCAACCCCCAACTCCGTCCCAACCCCACCGCCGTCGACCCCATAAATCCCAGGCACTCCCTCACCCCCGTGAGCTTATCCCCGACAGCGCGGGCATCCGCCCACCGACGCGCCACGAACTCCTCCGTCTCGCGCAGCCCGGCACTCGTGTCGCGGGTCATCACGAAGTCCGAGGCCGCGTACACCGCCGCCACCGCCATGCGCTTCGAGTACCACGAGGCGTCGACGGACTTGTCACCCGCCAGGTTGAGGATATCGTCCGCCAGGGCGTGCAGTTCCGAAAGGGAGAGAGGGATGTTTTCTCCGAGGGACATGACTGCCAATGCCTGGTTTCGCAGAATAGAATGTGTTAGCATCGTTGTTGTTCATTTGCGTGTGTGTGCGTGCGTGTTTGCTCTCTGGCTGGGAGTTCAAGGGGGTTGGGGGAAAGACTCACATCCTGCCATTGATCCTTGACCTCGGCATTCATGCGCAAGCGCTCCATCAACAGGATCTGGATCTTGTCGTCGACGGAGAGCACGGGGCCGGCCGAGAACAGGCCATCGGATTCGACCTTGGAGCGCAGGAGGCCGCGGCGGCTGGCGAGCCAGAAGAGGATCAGGTCGAATTCGCCGCGGGGGAGGAGCTGCACGGAGACATCCAGGAAGCCGGCGTCGCGGGCACCCAGGGTGAGGGCGTTGCGGGAGAAGCCGTGCGTGGGGACGTGGTGGAGGGCGGCGGAGAGGATGGTGGTTTGCGAGTTGGTGTAGTCGTGGGGTTGGGTGGGGTGGTGGTCGGAGTGGTAGGTGCGCGTGGAGGGAGACAGACGGTTGGGGCGGGATGGGGTTGTTCGAGAGGTGATTGTGAGGTTGTTTTGTCGGGGGTTGGTGGTGGTGGTGGTGGTGGTGTGGATTTGCGATTGGGGCTTGGGCTGGCGGAGATGGGTTCGGGGAGCGAGGGAGAGGGCGGCGCGCGGGGAGGAGGCGTGGGAGAGTCCTCTCCGGGTGAGGGTGAGGAGGGAGGTTGGTCGGGTCATGGTTCAGGGAGGTGTTTTTTATGGCTGTAAAGGAGAGGGTTGAAGAGAGTTAGAGGGGAAGGTAGAGAAGGAGAGATTTGCGGTGGTGATGGGGGTTGAAAGAAAGTCGGGATGTCGGCGGGAGGAATTTGTTAAGCGGTGGCCTGAGCGGAGCCAAGATTGCCTGCAGTGCCAGACTCGCTGGTGCCGGGGTGAACCACTGAATGGTTTAACTGCAGTGGGATTGGTCTGTGGTTGATGTTGACCATGTGGGTGCATTTGGAAATACTCGGATTGAATTGTTGACTTTATTGTTCGTATTAGTGTCTGGTACTAGAGCTGGATTATGCTATTAAGAAGTAGTCAGAATGCCTCCTACGCAGACAGTAAAGTACAGTACTTCGTCCACCACCTACTAGAGGAAAGTCAGGAAAATAGTATGTAGACGGTAATTAAGAAAGTCAATACTCCACTACCTCGATACCTGGACTCAGTCCCAGAATCTTATGAATATACATCTCGTAGATTGTTGGTCCAGGTAACTAGCTCTGTGGTACCTGAAGATCTCCCCCCTCAATGACGTTTGGCAGTGGTTGGTTCTACTATAATTGGGATTTTTGCTGTAGTGGAGCTAACAGTCTTTCAATAACAACCATTGTCAAATAGATCTGATCGATCTGACTGATCTCTTCTTCTAGTGATCCTGTTTATGCACTGGTAGTAAGGGTAGTGTCCAGTCACGTAGGGACTAGTTTATAGATCATTCTCGCAGTCATTACTGTCGAAACTAACGGACTATTTCAGACTACTTCCGACTAGCGATGTCCCTTTCATCTTATCTTTTCCCTCCGTTCCTTCGGGCCCCGCCCACTCATCCTGTCATCATCCGCATCTGCATTCCGCGTCCCCTTCTCCCATCCACTCATCCGCCTCCCTTTCCACTCACACACCTTTTATCTTCTGCCCTTTTCCCTCCCTCCCCTACTCTGACCGTTTGTTTGCTGCCGACTTCACAATTGATTATCTAGAAACCATCATGGGTGGGTTCGTCTTTCGATTGTCTCTCGTCTCGTCCTACTTGCCTTGCTTTTCGTTTCCTGCCTCATTGAATCTCCCTCATCACCTCTCCCTCCGTGGATAGTACTTTGCCATCCTCCCCTCCAGATGAGCCAGTCCGGTGACTGCACGTTCATGTCTGGTGCATCCTCAATGCCCTCTCCCCTGTAGACGCCGTCCAGTCGAGCACTTGCCCCAGTAAGAGACACAAGAAGCCAATGATACACAATTGGAGAGAAGGACGAAGGCTGTGGCGTCTATGCCACCCTCGTTCATGTCTCTTATCAGTTCACTTCAATTGCTGGCTGGCATGGCGACCATGTCAGGTTCCAGGTTGTCTCTAAAGCTGTCAGTCAGGGTGACAAGAGGAAGCGGGCAGCGGGAAGAAGGGGAACCAACGAGGCCAATCACATACTGTGGACCTGCAGGTTGAGGAGAGACAGACACGGGCCGCCTGGAACCATGAGTGATTGTTGACTGACTGCTTGCTTGCTGGCTTGCTGCTGCTACTGGTGGTTGCTGGTGGTTGCTGGCTGATGGGTGTTATTGTGCTCCTACTGCTGCTCTTGCTCTCGCTGCTCTTGCTCTCACTGCTCCTACTCTTCCTTCCATTCTACTGCTACTACCTACCTATCTACCTACCTACCTACCTACCTACCTACCTTTTACCTACCTTTTACCTACCTACCTACCTACCTACCTACCTACCTACCTACCTACCTACCTTACCTTACCACCTTACGATTACTACCACTACTACCACCACTACCACTACCACTACCACCATCGTTTCCGTCTGCCAACCAACGAGTGTTCGTTCCCTTTTCCCAACCCAACCCAACGCCCCTTCCCCCCCCCCCCCGCCGTCACCCTCCTTTATCTCTTGCTCGCTCTCTCGCTCTTCTCTTCCTTAGTTTTAAGTGTTGGTCTCGCCTTTCTTCGGTTGATTACTGATTCTACCCTCTCCTCCCTCTCCTCTCCTCCCCTCTCTCCCTCTTCACATTCCCATCTCCATCTTTCCTTTCCCCATCGTTCCCCTCTCCTTCTCCTTCTCCTCTACTTCTTACCTCACTTGCTTCCCATTTCCATCAGTTCCACTTCCCTTTTCTCGTCTTCAATCTTCCTAGCCTGGTAATCCCTGGATGGTTCCTTTGTCTGTTTAAACCCCGACCATTGGCTTGGTGGCTTACCATCTAGATCCGGTGTGCAGCCGACGTGTATCGACCTCACCAAGTAAGTGTGGGATTTTCTTCGATTGTGTTTTCTTGTTACTGCTTTTTGTTGTGTAGCGAAACGACTACTTTTTCCCCTATGATCCTTCGCTCCTTCATCCTGGACAGGAATCGAGGCAAAGGGCAGAGCTAGAGCAGAGGGAGGCAGGCACTGCGAACGAGAGAGTACTAAGGTATGGGAGAGGAGGAGCAGCAGCAGGAGGAGATGAACCACCGGGTCCCCACCCTGGCGGTTGTAGCCTTCCTCTTTTTGCTGCTGCTCTGGTGGTGCCGGTGGCTGCTGCTGGCTGCTGCTGGCTCCTCTTCTCCGCCTGGGGCAAGACGCACCGACCACTTTATCGTCTGCTTCTCTCATGCTTCAGTCTCGCGACCAGGGCTTTTGTCTTGTCTTCTCTTATCTCTGCCTTCCTACCTGCCTACCTACCTGCCTACCGATCCTCGTTGTCTTTCTTTGCCTTCACCTGGGATCTCAAGTCTTGCTTTCTCTTTTCTTTCCATACTCCATTACGGGTCGCCTCCTCCACTGTTCCGCAAGGTCCTTTTTGAGTTGTGCTGCTTGATTCCCAGTCGAGTCTGGCCCGCACCGGGTCCGAGAGTCACCTGACTACCTATCTTACCAGCCCGGCAACTCGGACCAATCCTTCCCTCCCCCTCTGCTGCCGCTGCTGCTGCTGCTGCTGCTGCTGTTCGCTGCCTTGCTGCTTCCCGACTCCTCTCTTCCCTTCAACTCTTCCCAACTCATTCCCATCTTCTGTTACCCGTCCCATCTTTTATCCTTTCCATTCATCCCACACCCAACACTCATCTCCTCCTCCTACATTCCTGTCCCAATTCTGATTAGGGACCTTGCGCGCACATTCTCCACCTCCTTTCCCCTGATTTTCCCTTTCCTTCCGCACGTCTTTTCTCCCCTCCGTCCGTGCCCGGTCTTACCTGCGGCGCGCTCAATTCTCGCTCCTCGTCAATGTCTCCACCCGCCTTTGACGATACTGACCACGCCCAGCGCGAGAGGTCTCGTTCTCCCCGTCGCCGTTCCCGTAGCCCCCGACGCAGCCGTCGTTCCTACTCTCCTCGCAGTCGCTCACGCAGTCGTGACGACTACCGCCGTTCCGATCGTCGTTCCCGCTCGCCTATGAGTGCGGCCCAAGGCCCTTCTGGTGGTCATTCATCTTCTGGTTACGGTGGGCGCAGCAGCTACCCGCCTCCGGCTCGGTCACACGAAGAACGCGCTGTTCACAAAGAACAAATGATGCAAGCCGTCCGCGAATCGTCTCAGCAAGACCGTCGGGTCTATGTGGGCAACCTTTCCTACGATGTCAAGTGGCATCACCTCAAGGATTTTATGAGACAGGGTGAGCAGGGTCACATCGTCTCGAGCGTCTGGTTCGCTCGTGTCGTCGCTATCGAATTTGAGGGCTGACTTTGGAGGGGGATTCACCCGCGTTGCGTGTCTACAGCTGGAGAAGTTATCTTTGCCGATGTCTTGCTTCTTCCCAATGGAATGTCGAAGGTGGGCGCCAATGCGTAGTGTGGCTGGTTTTTTTTTCTGCCCTTGTTGTTATTCCTGGACTCTCCCCTTCCCTTCCCCCTCTCGTTGGTTTGCTTGTTATGGACTGTTTGGGTTGACGGGCTGGGCCTGGCCGTCCGGGATACTGTAGGGATGCGGGTAAGGACCTCCTGGCGCTCAATGATCTTGTCGGAACGCCTGCTGACTCTTCGGATAGGATTGTGGAATACGCGACCAGGGATCAAGCGCAAAATGCGGTCAACACCCTTAGCAACCAGAACCTGATGGGTCGTCTTGTCTACGTTCGTGAGGTAGGTCATAACTCGGCTTCAGCTATCAATAATTGCCGACTGATGGGATGGCTGTAGGATCGTGAACCCGAGCCGCGTTTCACCGGCGGACCTTCGCGTGGCGACTTTGGCGGTGCCGGCCGCGGCGGTTTCGGTGGTGGATTTGGCGGCGGCGGTGGTGCTGGTGGTGCTGGAGGTCGTCAGCTCTTCGTGTCCAACGTAAGTGCGGTCACTGAAAGCAATAAAAATGACGGAGAATTGATGGTGGGATGTCTAGCTTCCGTTCAACGTGGGTTGGCAAGATCTGAAGGACTTGTTCCGTCAAGCCGGTAAGTCACTCTAAACGGAAGGGCGCGGCGCCCTTTAAGGGCCGCTTGCGTGAGTTCCGCTCGGACAGCAGCTAATTCTGTAGCTCAACAAGGTGCGGTTATTCGTGCCGATGTTCACACTGACGCCACCGGTCGGCCCAAGGGCTCCGGCATTGTCGCGTTCGAGTCCCCTGAGGACGCTCGCAATGCCATTCAGCAGTTCAACGGCTACGACTGGCAAGGTCGGCCCTTGGAGGTCCGTGAGGACCGCTTTGCTGGTGCCGGTCCCGGCTTTGGGGGCCGCGGTGGCTTCGGAGGTCGTGGTGGTTTCGGCGGCGGTTTCGGAGGCCGCGGTGGCTTTGGCGGTCGTGGTGGTTTCGGCGGCGGCTTTGGTGGTCGCGGCGGCTACGGGGGCGGTCCTGGCTACGGCGGCCCTGGCGGTCCTCCCGGCGGCCCCGGCTTCGAGGGCGTCGCTTCGGTTCCTCCCAACCCCTTCACTGACTTCGCCACTTCCGGCGGCGAGAAGAGCCCCGTCATCTACGTGCGCAACGTAAGTTGAACCCTGACTTCGTCAAGAGTATTGGTGACTCATCCGGATATAGCTGCCCTGGTCTACCTGCCACGAGGACCTCGTCGACTTGTTCTCCACCATCGGCAAGGTTGATCGCGCCGAAATTCAGTATGAGCCCAATGGTCGCTCCCGTGGCACCGGTGTGGTTCAGTTCGACAGTGCGGACACTGCTGAAACTGCTATCGGTACGTTCAGGCCATTGCATTAAGGGCTGGTCTCTTTACTGACTCCTCACGCAGCCAAGTTTACAGGCTATCAGTATGGTGGTCGTCCCCTGGGCATCACTTTTGTCAAGTACCTGAATGTGGGTGGCCCTCCCGCGGACGCGATGGAGGGTCAGGAGCCCACGGCTCCCATTTCTCAGGATCAGATCATGTAATTGTACCGGCCTGATGGAAATATCTCGGCTTTCGGAGGATTTGATCGAAAAAGTTTGCGATGTATAACTCCGAGTGGTTTAAAGGATCACCTGTCGGCGCGGGCTCGCGTATGCTGATTACCTTGAAATATCGCCCTTAACCTCATTCCCCATTTTCGATATTGTTTGTGTTCGATCTGTTCGATTCAAGTCACCTGTTGTGACGTGTTTTGTCGCTGGTTAGCTCTCGTTATATGATTTCTCATCTCCGGCGATCTGGTTCCGTGGGGATAAATCAGACCTGGTTTGACAATGTCCAAGAATGTGCGTGTGTACGCTGGGGTGTGGGATGGGGTCTTGCGTCCGATGCAGTTGCGGTTTCTGTTGACTGCCCCCGACAAATGGATGGATCTGAACAGAGGATATGGTTTGGTGATGTGTTGGACCATCCCGTATTCGGTAGGTCTGGTAATGTGCAGTGGTAATGCGGTAGGCTGTGGTAGGCTGTGGTAGGCTATGTACAGTAAGTGCTGCAACATATTGTCCGGTGGGAGACTGTGCTTGTTCCCTTGGTCTCACCGGAGGCAATCACGGGATACACCCGAAGACAACATCCATGTACAATATAGTTGGTCGTTGCCATCATATTTGACTATCTTATTCATGCACACTGGAATCAAGATAAAGAAATGGCACAAATCCGTGTATACGTGGACTGCCATAATACATGAAACGTAAAAACTTAGGAATAATTGCACTCAGCATTGCTCCCACTCAGGACAATACCTTCGCCTTAAATTACACCCAGTGTCGAAATCTACAGGGAGGGTGCAAGTGGTAGAGGTGGGTAGTTTATTGTACTTTTCCAAGGAGACGAACGGTGGACCTCTTTTCATCGTCTGATGATTCAGATCTTCCTCGCCATGAATGGTTAGGCCGAAAGGATAGTTACCACACAGACTGCAACTTCATTTGTCGTATTGTACCGTAGAAAGTGTCAGAAGAAAGTCAAGGGAATATGATAGATCCAGAACCGATACGATCAGAAAAGCCAGCTTTCAGTAACACCTAAATGGATTCAAACAGGAAGGGAATAAGAGAAGCAAGCAAAAAGAAAAGAAAAGCTCATCAGCAACTCGACCTCAGGCAACCAACACTCAAACAATGGTGATGGAGGAAATTGAAATCAGTGATGATGGTGATGATGGTGATGATGATGATGAGAAATGGGTGAAATAGATACAAGAGAAGTGTAAGTAAGTAAGAGGCAACAAAGAAGTAAAGCAAGCAAGCAAGAAAGAAATCAGGCAACGATAACCTTGAAGCCAAGACCCTTGAAGCAGAGAGCACTGGCTGCAGTGCAATGAAAAACCCCCTCAGCCGATGAACCCAACCGACCAACCAGCCAGCCAACCAACCGCCTTATCCGTTTCCGTACCGCCCGGCCATCCGGGAGTCTAACGCCTTTGTAAAGAGAAATAGAAAGGAAGAGGTGACGAATCTTGAAATAGAGGAAAAAAAGTTCAGCAGTGGTCAAATTTTACTTGACCTGTCAAGCTGTACAGTAACTAACCCCCGGAGGGAGTTGACTGCCCCAATCCGGTTCCCGCTAGTCGAATCTGTCAGATTTTGTGACACAGAACGCCAAGAGCGATGGAGTGCACGGTTGTGTGAAATGTGTGGATATATAAAGGGACTGGGAAGAATTTGTGGTGAGATTTGTCAAAGTGAGGATATTTGAATTCTGTATCTCTCCTTCCCACATATTGTTGTTGAAAATTTGTTTGTTGGTATGTGTCATGCATGAGAGCTCCTCAAATATGATTGTTGAAGGTCAAAGGCGCACACATAACAGGATCACCACGTCATTGTCGTCAGGTCGTGGAGATATACAAAGGGAAAAAAAACATAGGAAAGGGTGTGACAAAGGAAAATGCTTTCTTGGGGTTGCAGGACTCCTTTCTTTCCGTCGGAGCTCCTTCCCCAAGTCAGCAGCATTTCAGATAATGGTAGATGGCCATTCGTCTGAGATTACCCGATCACAAGGGCTCCCTGCGTCTATGGCGACAGGTTATTTGCAGGAGGATAGTGGCCTGGAATCTGCAGTTCAAGAGTGGAGACACTGCCCTTGGTTTGTGCGGGAGGTCGTTTGGCACTGCCATTCTGAGTGACGGCCATGTCAGTGGCAACAGTGCCGACAGACGGGCCAGCATGTATAATTCCCTCATGGTCGGTGGTTGTCATGGGCTGCTTGGCTGCGCCGTCGAGCTCAACCCCAACGATATTTACATTGGGTTCCTCGTGCTCGTCAATTGAGCTCGGAAGGGTGTTGTGTGTGTACTCTGTCCCGTTCGTCGCCGTGGGCGCTGTTGAGGCGCTTTCGCCGCGGTTGCGCTGGCGGGTCAAAGATGGATCTCGCGAACTCGTGGAACCCATGCCGTTGACGAAGATGGCCTCGCCAGTCTCTCGGTCCTGATAACCTCGGTCGTAACCTTGTTGCGCGGGCTGAGTTTGCTCATTATAACCTCCGGCTCCCATCCATGTGCCATAGTGGCTGTCGTGCCTTTCTACTGGCTGGGGATACCCTTGATTCTCCAAGTGACTGCCATTTGCATCACCATCGGT